AAAAATGCAGATGGGCTTAAAATGACGATCTGGCGAGATTCCACATGAAGTTCTCCAAAGCACCAGTAGATCAGCCCAAGAAAGTTTCTGAAAATCTGTGAAATCAATTCACATCTCCGCTTCTTTTTGCCTCTTCTTTTTGCCTCTTTAACATGTATCGAAGATCGCCTCTAAATGAGGGGGACTCCGAGGACAATAGAACGCCATGACCGGTCCAAGCAATGTTGGCAATTGCCACCCAGCGAAAACAGGAAAGGATCGAGGCATCAGGCGGGTTTCCAAAGCCAAACAAAAAAACAAAAACAATTGGCCAATCGTGTCATTCTTTTGTTTAGGCATCCTTCAGCCTTGCCATGCCTGTCTGCCTGACCGAGATTTTAGCAATCAGGGGAAAAATCGTCCTCGGCTAAACGCACCTGCTCCGTTGGCCAATGAGATAAAAAAATTGGAAAGTCTCGTCTCGAGGATCTAGACGCCACTGGTAAAATCCATTTTCCAATTGACCCCCTTCGTTGTTGGAAAACCAGGGGTCATCTCGAAAGATGCCTCGCACGTGCCGGGCTGGACCCAAAATACACATACAGGCCTGGCAACGCCTTCAAGATAAACTTTCCCTTAAAACCACTTTTCTTCCCAAAAACACCTTTTTCTTTTCACCGTCTCCTCCCACGGCTGTTGAAAAGCTCTGCCTCGTCACGTCCAATTTACCCGCCGTGCATCCTCGTGCCCCAGATCCATCTCTGCGCAGCAAACTCAAATCCAACTACACATTTCTTCCACCATGTCTTACACCAGTGGATTCAAGAAGAACGAGCTGGCAATCTCCTCGGATATTGACAGCGATTCCGGTATCAACATCCAGGCGCCCGATGGAGCCCACCCGCCCATTCGCAGATCGTCGTCGTTGTTCTCGTTGCTGTCGAACCAGGAACCACTTCCAAGACCCGAGCCTGAGGAATACAAGAACTTCTTGCACGACACGAGGCACTTCTCCTTGGTCCGCAACTTGCACATGGCCGACTTCATCACGTTGCTCAACGGGTTTTCCGGTTTTTACTCCATCATCTCCTGCTTGAGATACGCCTTGACTGGCAAGTCCCATTACGTCCAGAGAGCCCACTTCTTTATCTGCTTGGGCTTGTTCTTTGACTTTTTCGATGGCCGTGTCGCCCGATTGAGAAATAAATCGTCGCTTATGGGCCAGGAGCTCGACTCCTTGGCGGACTTGATTTCCTTCTCGGTCTCGCCTGCCATCATTGCGTTTGCCATTGGCTTCCGCTCAACGGTAGACGTGCTTTTCTTGTCCTTCTGGGTTCTCTGCGGTTTGACGAGATTGGCCCGTTTCAACGTTTCCACCAATAACATCCCCAAGGACTCCACCGGTAAGAGCCAGTACTTCGAGGGCTTGCCTGTGCCTTCCAACTTGGTGTGGGTGGTTTTGATGGCGTTGCTCGTGTACACCGACAGAATCTTGGAAAACCTTCCATTGGGCTTGGTCTTTGAAGGCACTTTCGCTGAGTTCCACATCATCTCGATTGGTTTCATTATCCAGGGCTGCGGTGAGATCTCCAAGAGTCTCCATATTCCCAAGCCATAAACGGCGCTGACAAAAAAGGCCCTAGCGGCATTACCATTGTTCCGGTCCTTCTTTTCCTTTTGAGCTTGTCCAAGAGGGACTTGCCACAACCGTCCGAGCTGACCCTAGCGTCTAATAGCCTATGCCTCGACTTATTTACTTATCAACCCCTTGCCGATCACCTCAACGTCTCGGAAAACTACTTCACCCAACTGTCCCAGCTGTAGTTGCTCGTAGTGCTCTTTATAGTGTACAGGGTCCAACACCCCGATATGCTTTGGATGAAACCCGAGCTTGTGACTCCGCTCCGATAAGCCCTCTTGTTGGCACGAGTCCCAAAAGATGTTATGAACTCTAGCCAATTTGGTCAAATATGCTACTCTGTAGCGCCATATAAGCCCCAGAGTGGGTTCGTGATGTTTTGATTCGGGCGTGATGCCTATTCTGGCCAATTCTCCGTGGAAGAGCGAGAGGAGTTGAAGAAGCTCTTTCCGCTCCGCTATACCCTCCATAAGCTTGGTGGCTAGCTGTTTTTCAGGCGTTTCTCTATCGATCTTGTCCTGAAAATCATCCACATCCTTGACATAGCGGAGTGCCGAAAGCACAAAGTTGCCTTTCCGGAAAGTGGGCACGCAAAGACGGGATCCATGCAGAAAAAGGAAAATTCTAGAAGGATTCATGTTTCTGGAGTAGCTATGACGTTAGATCTGTGATCTAGTGATAATTGGTGATGGGAGGTACGGGTGTGCTCATTGGTATACCGGTTTTCATTGAGATTTTCCTTCAATCACCAGACCTCCTCTGCCTACACACATGCTTGCCAGAACGGTTTTGCGGGCATGTCCCCGTGGTATTGCCGCCGCCCGTGCGGTTCCAACGGTACCAAAACCACGTTTTTTCAGCAACTCCTCGTTAAAACTCAATGAGAAGAAGGAAGAGAAGCCCAAGTCCATTTTGGACGACGATATGTTGGCCAAAGCCGGCTTTGAGGACGAACAATCTGCATCTGAGAAAAAGGAGAGCTCCGACAAGTCGGCCCGCAGAAAGCGCAGAACAAAGACTTCGAAGGATCTTCAAAGAGAGAAATGGTCCAACATCTTCTACGGTGCTACGCTTGTTGGAGGTGTAGGTTACTTGGGCTACATGGCTCGTGACTGGGATTCTGCTGAAGAGCAGAAGGACCTCGAAGGTGGCGAGATCGACAACGGCTACACCCCTGGTTTGATGTACGAGCGTTTGTCGAGAAGAATGTCCAAGGCATTTTCGTTCTTCTCTGAGCCCGTTTTTGAGAACTTGTTGCCTCCTCCTCCTCCAGAGCAGTACCGTCGTCCATTGACGCTTGTTTTGGCGTTGGATGACTTGTTGATCCACTCCAGCTGGGACACCAAGCACGGTTGGAGAACTGCAAAGAGACCTGGCTTGGACTACTTCTTGGGCTACCTCTCGCAGTACTACGAAATCGTCGTTTTTTCCACCAACTACCAGATGACGTCGGAGAGAACCGTCGTCAAGATTGACCCCTTGAGAGCCTACATTCAGTACCCTTTGTTCAGAGAGGCTTGTAGATACAAAGACGGCAAGGTGATCAAGGACTTGTCGCTTTTGAACCGTGACTTGAACAAGACCGTTGCCGTGGAAGTCGATAAGGACGCTGTTTCTATGCAGCCCGAAAATGCCATCATGTTGAAGCCTTGGAACGGCGAGAGCGACACCACCTTGGTTGACTTGATTCCACTTTTGGAGTACTTGGCCACCCAGCCCATCAAGGACGTTCGTCCCGTGATCAAGTCCTTCAGCCAGTCTGACGATGTCATTGCCGAGTACAAGCAAAGAGAGGCCCGTTTGAGAGCCAAGTGGAAGGAGGAGAACAAGCACCTTTTCGAGCGTGCCGGTAAGCCCAATGTCGGCACCTTCCTCGGCTCCATGGTCGGAATGTCTCCTAGTGCACTTAGCAGAGAGCCAAAGATGCCGTTGGACATTATTAGAGAGCACGGCCAGGCTCAGTACGAGAACTTGCAGAAGTTCTTGAGAGAGAACACCGCCAAGTTTTTGGAGGAGGAGCAGAAGATGAAGGACGAGTACGGCAAGATGACTTTGAACAAGTTGATGACTGAAGGCATGCCTACGCCCGAGGACATTGCCAAGCAGCAGGCCGAGAAGGCTGCCGCTGAGACAAACGGGAGCGCTTGAACATAGATATATAACTCTTGTATAGGCCGAACATGCGGCGTGGAAGGCAGTTGTAGGAGCACTTTTAACTTTTCGCCTGGTCAATTGAACAATGAAATATTTGCTCATTGGGCCAATGGGTCAGACAAACGATTTTTGAGTGTATTGTGAATTTTTCAGATACAGCCATAGATTATCGGCTTTCGGCTTCATGTGCTCTATAAACCAAAATTCAAAATCCCGTCAAAATCACTAATCCCTAAATCACTTCTGCACACGTCCCGGTCTTATCAACAAAGGCCCATTATGCACAGTGACAGAATAGAGATATTATCGGAAAAACTGGTCTCGGCATGAACCCTGGAAACAGGCTGCAGTGCCGAGGACCCATAATAGCCCACAACCAAACCAACAACCCAATCGCTTCAATTGGCAAATAGTATTTTTTATTGGCTTTCATTGAACTTCATGAAAAACTTTTACCTTTTTTAAAAATTCCCTGGTCATTCAAAAACAAATGTCTGACCAGGCGGACACTCTTCACTGCGAGCACCTGATGGTTGATGCATATGACCAGAACCGTTGGACCACCCGATTACCTAATCCACCAATCAGCTCAATTCCACAAAAAAGCAATCCTCCACATCCTAAGCCATTCTCTTTTTTCCACTATCAATATTTCAAAAATCCAAAACGTAGAACCCTCGAAATCACCGCTCTGTAGCACGCTACTGCTCATTCCAGACCCCATGCCTGAAAGCCGACTTCGGCCCGCGCCCATTGGCTACAATCTTTGCTTCCCCTGAGTCCATTTTTCAGGATTTCGGGGCGATATTGAAAAACGATTTTGAAAGTGTTTTTTTCAACAAAAGCCCAGATTCTTTTTCCTCCCTCCCTGCCAAAACCACCCCCACGGTCGTGTCCATCGCTAGCTCGTGATTTTTTTACGAGCGCTTTTTTATCTAAACCATCAGTGCCAATCATCTCCCGCGGCGTTTCTCACCAACTACTACTTTCTTCTTCAACACCCTTAGAAACCCACGCTCCACGCCAGCGGATTCGGACAAAAACGCCGCCACACCTCCCGCAACAGCCTGATCCGGAGCCTGCCAAATTTTGGTTCCCTTAGCACCCCAAACACCCGTGCACCGAGCCATTCATTTTTCATCCCACTCAGCCCTGGCGATATCTTCCTAATCACCGTCACAGAGGCCAACGAAACACCCCCTTTTTCCCCTATAGATCCTTCAATAACATGTCCACACGGGGCCCCCAGATTGCTCCCCGCACGAGCTTGGCGCCCTCGCCCTCGGCGTCGTCTGCCATGGCGCTCAACTCCCTGTCGCCAGAATCTGCCTCTCCAGGCTCCAACATAGCCCCAGCGCCCAGTAGTCTGGTCACGTCTATCGTCACATCGCGTGAATGGGTGCTTCCGCCACGCCCCAAGCCGGGCCGCAAGCCCAGCGTCGATACGCCTGCGCTGAAGAGAAAAGCACAGAACAGAGCTGCCCAGAGGGCATTCAGAGAAAGGAGGGCCACGCGTGTCCAGGAGCTCGAGCAGAAGCTCCTTGAGGTCGAGAAGGAGAAGGAGGTCAAGGAGATGGGCCTCGTCAACACAATCAACAAGTTGAAGTTCGAAAACCAGTTCCTTCTCAAGAGCATCGAGCAGCTCAAGCTGGAGTTCCACAGCTTCCGCTCGTCCATGGGCTCGCCAGCCTCGCCACACCATCCTCCCAGCAGCGGGCCTTCGCCTAGAGCGTATAGCCAGGGTCAAAACCAGGCTCCAAGCCAGTACCACATGTCCCAGGGCTCTTCTGCCCAGAGAACTCAGCCAAACGGCTACCAGCGCAGCTCCCAAAGCTCCACGAGTTCCCAGGGCCTGCTGGCTATGCTCCACGCCAATCCCAACGCTTCCCAGAAGTCCCTGGCTTACAATCTCGACGTCAACCAAAGCGCTCAGCATTTGCTCAATTTCGCCAAATCGCTGCCTGCCAACCACTCCACGGGCTCTCCAGCACTGCTGCTGTACTCCGTGCAGCAGATACTGCCCGCTCCCAGCGCCGACTCGCCTCCAGCTGCCCTGTTGTTCCGTCATGTGCCTTCTAACAAGTCCAGCCTCATCAGCCCTACTTCCCAGAACGCTACGCCTAATAAAGACGGCAAGGGTCATAGCCACGGAAATAACGACGAGTTTGACTGCGGCGTGTGCTTGAAGGAGCAGTGTCTTTGCGAAGATATTGGTCTTAAGCTGAAGCCAGTCGAGGAACAATTCAATTCTTTCACCCCTCAGGCAGCTGTGCTGCTCAAGAGCAAGAAGAGAACGCGGGGCTCGCTGCTTTCCAACAGCTCCACGGGCCAGGAAATTGACTTTACTGCCGAGTTTGCTGTGAAGAAGATGCCCGACCTCAAGCGTCTCAAGAAGTCGCCTTCGAAGGAGAAGGTCACCGTGAAGAAGGAGCAGGATTTCCTCAGTAATCCCTCGTTCAACGAGGAATCTCCAGTGGAGAACTGTGGTTTCTGCTCTGATGACACTCCATGTGTGTGCAGAGAGGCTGCCAAGGAGGCTGCTAGAATCAACGAATCTTTAACGCAAAAAGCCGACGAACCAGAACAGACCGAAGATGCTTCCACATCGCTCCCGCCGCTTCTTAACTCCTCGGCTATGCGCAAAGCATCGTTGCCTGTGATGCACCCAGGCCCCACTCTCGAAATTCGTGAATTCACCAACTTGACACCCGGTGCCGTGCCCACAGTCGTCACCAAGGAAGAGAAGGAAGAGGAAGAAGAGGCCGAGACAAAGTCGGGATGTACCGGTAACCCAGGAACGTGTGCCCAGTGCCAGACCGACCCAATGTCCACTTTATTCTGTACCACAGTCGCCAGCAGAGCTGCCACTTCTAAAGAGCCAAGCGGAGAGCCAGAACCACAAACGCGACCAACGCTTGCCAGACTGGGACCAGAGAAGAAGCTACCGATTGAGGCTAGTCCAGGCAAAAACGAGCTCGAAGAGACCGAGCCTCTGAAGAACCCTGAACCTCAACCTAGCTCCACAAGCCTCCCCAATGGCTTCGGTTCTGCCACAACGCCGTCTACGCCCCTTCCTACTACCCCTGGTGGCTCGACCACCGGCATATTTATTCCCTGTGCTGACGCATACAAGACGCTTTCGAGACACAAGAAGTTCAACAGTGTGGACTTTACCTCGCTTGTGGGCAAGCTTACCACGCGAGGCATGCAAGTGGAGGTCCAGTCCGTGGCCAATGTGCTCCGTGAGCTTGACAGGAAGGTGTACGATTAGTAGAGACCAATTAATAGAGTATTCTGATGAGTGAGTGTAGGCGGTAGAGGTTGGACAGTCTAAGTTGGTATTAGAATAAGTTTGGAGTTTTTCCATGGTTTTGTGGCCTGGAGTGTTGAAACAAGGTTGCTAATATCTCTAATGAAGGCTCATTTGACTCGAATTTGATAGACCTCCATCTGACATAGGAAGTAGCCTTAAAGAATAGTTTGATGGACGATAATAAGAAACGTCAAATGATAGAAATCACGATTCGTCAATCTTTAAGGTAAATGAAGAGGCATGGTAGGAAGCAACTACCGGTAGGGCTAAACATACAAGGAGGTTTTAGGAATGCCAAATTTTAATATTGAGTAAATTATCAGTATAGTCTTCTGGATACTCCAACTGAATTAAAAACTTTTCAAAGTACCACCCTGACGTTCCAGTCATTCTGGTTGGCTTGAGACATCTCAATAGCGTATTTTGCACCCATTCAGTGCACTCAAGCAACCCACCAAATCCACCATAAACAACAAGATTTTTTAAAAAGAATAACATAAACTCAAATCTCTCCAATGTAACAAAATTATCAACGAAATACAAAACCAAATTCCACAACTCATCCACCCCACTAAATCCACCAACTCTTCACCTCCACACTGCGCGCAGATCTTCCTCATCGAGAAGACATCACCACTGCTACTACCACGCAAAACACCACCGGCAATGCTCCACAGACGCTTCAGCCAATCAGCGCTTCGACAGCGCCTAAGCCTCCTTCACAAAAAGCAATTCAGTACGTCGCTACGCGTGTCGCTGGCAGCAGAGACCCAGGAACCCGTCAGTGTCGAAAGACAAGATCTAGAGGAACGGCTTGAGGAGCTCCAGCTCGAGATCAAGAAGCTCAGAACGCTATATGGAGGAAAAGAAGAGCCGGATTACCGTCTCGACCAGGCATTTGAGGATCACGAGCTGCTCAGACAGTTTGAAGAGAGTTTGTCTATTGGAAAGCATGGGAAGAAGGATTTGAAACAACGGCTTAGTGATACTAAGGACGGTGACCATAGACCACGTGGGGTGCCTTACCAGGACGTTTTTGGCCATGGACCGCCAGACAGGCTCCACATCAAATCTTATTCATACAAAGACGGAAAGTACTCGGGTCCTTATAATGGAAGAGCTACAAGACGACCGGATGTGCCCAGGCTCTCGCATAACCTTAAAAGCGTGCTATTCCGCCCCGGCGTGCATTTCCTCAAGGATCCACGGACAAAGACATACAATTTTTCCACCTACCTTGAGAATATTGTGAAGTATGAGAATTTCGATTTCGACAAGGTGCAGCCGTTCATCTCCGTCCCAAAGGATAAGGTGCTCTTGAACATGGCATTAAAACACAACCTTTCCTACTACTCGTCCACGTCGTCCATGACGCCGATTCTCACGAAATTCTACCTTCTTCTCAATAATTACAGTGGCACCAAGGAAAGCCCTCGCTTTGAGTTTCCCCGTTTCAACAGAACCGTGCTCGAGCTCCCAGCCTCGGTGATTGTGCTGCCTAAGGGCAAGAAAAACAAGGCTGGCAAGTCTGTGTATTCTGTTTCCTCAGATAAGTCGGGCGATACAGAAATCTTGCTTAGCGCCATGGGACACTGCTTGGAGGCATTCTTGACAACTACAGAACAAGACTTCAAGAACTACCTTCTCGATAATCCAGAATCACTGAAGGAAGCCGTCATGAACGATCAAAATGCCTATAGTTACATTTCCTGTGGCAAGCTTCTTATGAGATCGCAGCTTGACTGCTACCAGGATGGACTTCCTGGAACGGGAACATTTGACCTCAAGACCCGTGCAGTGTGTGCCATTCGTCAGGATAGACTCAGTGATGCTGCCAACAACACCTACCAAATCTGGAGACAAACGGGTCCGTACGAGTCCTTTTCTCGTGAGTTTGACGATTTGATTCGAACAGGAGCTCTTCTCAAGTACGCTTTCCAGGCTCGAATCGGACAGATGGACGGAATCTTTGTGGCGTACCACAATATCCGCAAGTTCTTTGGTTTCCAGTACTTGCCGTTGGAGGAGATTGACCGTATTTTCTACAACGATCTGCATGTCCAGGCGAAAATTATCAACGACAAAGTCAAGCAGAAGGAGGTGACGCTTCCCGAAGACAATCTTCCCCAAAAAGTCGCTACCCTTCAGTTTAAGGCGTCGTTGGACATCTGGACGTCTGTGATGGACAGGGCCATTGCTGATTTAGAAGCATTGGGCTACAAAGATACGGCGTTCAGGCTCATTTTCCTGTGGAAGGCAGGTGACGACAAAAAAGGCTCCAAGCTCTATGCCTCTGCCGTTCCTATTACGCCAGAGCAGGAAGAAGAGCTACAAACGTTCCTGGGTAATTTCCAGACCTCTTTCAAGGAAGACATTACCCAAGAACAGAGAGCCAAAAATCTCGAACATTTCAGAAAAGAACTCGACAAACTCAACCTCTCGCTAGCGCAGAAGGCTCCTGTACTTGGGTACACCATCTTCGTGGACCAGTTCTTCAACGGCAAGAAGCTGTACAAACAACACCCATACCCCAGCTGTCTGGCGGACCATTTCGAAGTCAAGTACAAAATCGCCAATCCTATTTGCAGTCAACCGGGGGACCGTAACACTTTCACGAGAGATCGGTACATGGACGCCATGAGAAAAGTTAGCAGTATGCTTACGTCGTCCATGCAGCCCAAAGGCACGGATAAACTGAAAAATCTGAACGTGGACGTGCTACGGTATTTTTCGAAAGTGGGGGAGATCCGAGAGCTGCAAGGAAGGGTGCAAGGAAGAAAGGGGAATCCTTCAAAAAGGGGAGAAGGCGTGAAAAGTGCCTAAAGTGGATATGGTGGGATCCGCTGAGCCAGGCTACTGACTCACACCCGGTGGACCGAGAAGCACGGTTATCTCATGACCTGCACACGTTACGTCAGCACAAGGGCCATCACCAGGTGGATCCTGCAGGGTGACTCTGCTCCGTTGGCCCATTTCGGCAGATTTGGCCACAGTTAATCCGAGAGGAGTATTTTTTCGCAGCCATCCCGCATCGCCGAACTGACCATAAAACCACAACAGCCCACCCTCTACTTCGTCAACGAAAAAAAATTTAAAAACAAGTTACAAATTAATCTTTCCAACATGGAGCTACTGTTTTCCCACATACGACCCGAGACGAATATGAAGCCCATCCTCAGTCCCAACAACTCCAACACATCGCTTAATCTGCTATTTTCAAAGATCGAAACTTCGCCTTTGACCATCACCTCCTATACCACCACGCCTTCCACCTCGCCCATATATGAGGTGCCACGTGCTGAAGAGGTTTCCTCGCTTTTACGCAAGAGAGTCGAATCCAAGACCTTGGTGATGCTTGTTGGACTTCCAGCTTCTGGAAAGTCCACTGTTTGCAAGCAGTTGGCCACATTCTTGGAGAACCACGACTACAAGTGCGAGATTTACAACGCTGGTAACGTCAGAAGACAGCTCAGAAGAACATTCAGTGACGCTGACTTCTTCAACCCGGACAACGCTGCTGCTCAGGAACAAAGAGAGCAGTTTGCCGCCATCGCCATGGAGCAGATGCTTGAGGACTTCCGTAACAACAGAATCAACGTCGGCTTTTTGGACGCTACCAACACCACCCGTCGCCGTCGTGACAAGATGCTTGAGATCGTCAGAAACTGCGATGTGTCGTTCTCCAACGTCATTGTGTTGGACGTCTCTTGCACTGACCAGCGTCTTTTGACCTTCAACGTGAACGGCAAGACCACCAACGGCGACTACACTGGCCGCTCCGTGGCCGAGGCGATCGCCGACTTCAAGCAGAGGTCATCTCATTATTATAAGGTTTATGAGGCTATTCTGCCCGAAGAGTTGGAGAAGGCCAGCGACGTTGTGTCGACATACATCAGCATTCAGAACGCCAAGAACACTCAAAGCTACAGCATCATTTCTGAAAAGCAGCATGATGAGGTGGAGGAGTTGTTCTCTGCTTTTGCTGGCAACTACTATAAGATGCATGGAGAGCGTTACCACGCGGCAGTGGACTCGTTCTACAAGTTATCACAACAGGCATAAGGTATAGAAGCCCCACGGGGCAAGGAAATTGGAATTTGGGTTTTAGGTTTTTAGATTATAGAAGTCCTGGATGATCCAGGAGGAATACAAGGATAGACTACACACGGCTGACCGTAGAATAAGGTTTTACTGATTGGATGATTTAAACTGTTCTATTTTTTTGCACTCTATTTACGGAGACGTGGGCCCATCGTTTGACTATAATAATCTTGGCTTTCGTGTTGAAGGTCCGCTGTGGCGCAATAGATGCTGGATCCAATGCCAGATTTACTTTTTCGATTATCAGGGGCACAAGAATGAGTCAACAAGATGGCTCAATCATAGACTTGCTCACGAGAATCTTGCCACGGTCCCGGGCTTGTCCGAGTTGTGTTTTTCACTGAATCAAGGCCGGTGGTGTCATATTTTAGACTGGCTGGTGAGTACCAAAGTAGTATAGTGTGAATCGTGGGAGGTTGATATCAGCAGGTTTCCTGTTTTAGATTTCATGCCCTGACATCCTGGATCATTGCCTCTTTCCCAAATTCTCCTTCCCATCACTTCTATGACTCCCCTAGACCGGGAATATTCGAGGTCAAGTTCCTCAAGCCCGGCACAACATCGGCTTGGCTTGCGTATGCCTGACCCACAGAGGAGGCTGGCGTGTCCTCCAACACAGCATTCACATTGTTATTCACACTGTAGTACCATGCACCATTCTTATCGTTGGTGTATGGTGGGTCCTTGAATGCTCTTGGGTCGTTTGGTCTAGCACGGGACCAGAATCTTGCCGAACGGTCATTTCCCGCTGAACACAAGATGTGCCCTAGCGGATGGTACTCCAAAGCATGAATGGCCTTCTCATGAGCATAAGGTACCCTATGAACAGCATCAACGCCTCCACCACGGCTATCAGGATCAGGGGAGATGTACTTATCCAAAATGTAGTGTGCCATGGATCCGTCGTAGGCACCAGTAGTAAGGAGACCAGCATGGACAGGGTGCCATTCCACACTGGAAAGGTCTGCTTCGGCATCACGGATAATGACAAAGTCAGACATGGTTCGTAAGTCAAAGACACGGCAAGAACGGTCTCGGGATACAGAGGCCAAAAGGCGGTTTGTGCCGACTTTTTGAAACTTTGTCTTCATCACCGTGTTCTTGAATCCATGCAAAGTCGTGACACATTCAGCGGCACGGGGGTCCCAGAGCTTCAACAAGTTATCCTTGGATCCCGTGACGACCAACCCCAAGTTTGGATGCCAATCGGCGCACTTGATATCCCAGTGATGGCCGGAAAGCGTTCTTTCTTCTTTAGCATTATTGAAACTCCAGATCTTCGCCAGCGAGTCGTCCAGGCACGTCAAAAACTTGCTATCGTTGGGCGAGAACGCTATATCTCTGACGGCGTCCGTGTGTGCCTGCACGATGTTGACGTTGTTGAAGTTGGGTTGCCAGTACTTGACCAAACCATCCTGATCTCCCGATAAAAGCCACTCATCGTCGTGGCTGTATTTCAACGAAAGCACCGCCAGGTCGTGTGCCTGCATGATGGTTTCGAAATTGAAGGTCATGCCGTTCCACACGGTGAACTCTCCGGAATGGGATGCCACCACAAGTCTACGACCTTCCGGTGTCCATTTCACTGTGTTGATGGAATGCTTTGCTTTGTTCAGCGATAAATGGACGAACTTGGACTGCACGTCAAGCACGGCCGGGTTGGTCGGCATCGAGCCGTACGCAATCGCCGGAAGAAGGTCAATGAGGTACGATGATTCCGGTCTGACTTCTCCAATGTGGTATTTCGTGTCGCCCATGGATTTTCGGAGATAGTAGCGGCCCATGGAGTTACCGTGGTCAAGTGCCCGTCGATGGAGACCCTTACGGTCCTGCAGCTGGAGCTGCTGCTCGATATTTTGTTGGTATCGAGACATGCTAGTAGTAGTAGGAAGTGTTGATGTTCGCACTATGTAGGCCATCACCAGTGGGAGGTATACTTATGAGGGAGTATCGAGGGGGGGAGGCAGTTGGTTAAATAAGGAAATACAATTTTTTTAGAAGGCCAGTTGTTGAAAGAGATTGGCCTATTAGCTGGAAATGTATTTGGATTTACGTGGGTGGTGGAACATGGGTTGCATGATGGAAGTGAGAGGTACTGGCATCGAGGGTGCATGATACGGAGATACTTCTAATTCTTACTTTAAATTTAAATGGTACCAAGCCTGAATTCTATGTAATCCATTTAGTAGAGGGCATTGTTTCTGAGTCGAATCGTTGAAGGGTTGCATCAGTATGAGAGACGTCATGAATCGAACAGAGATTTTCAGCAGGAAACAACCTTATAGCCAAGTATTTGCAATTTAAAAAGACCGGAATACTAATTTTTGATACGGAAGAGCCGTTGTGGTGAAATTTTGTGCATTGTCACATTTTGCAGCCAAAGTCTGCACTGACCCTTTGACACACGCAAGCTAGAGAACGAAGCGCTGCTTTGTAATAAGCATCACGAATTTGCTTTCTAATTACTGACAAGGTAAACACTGCAAATTATATATACGTGCTTACTGTGAATACAATTCATGCATTGTGGGCCACGAGGAAACTGTGGAGTCAGGTCACGTGCAAGGGTCCTCTTTAACTGTGCATTTTTTTCACCCTCTGGAGCTATAAATACTTCTTTCCAACTACTAATCAAAACAGTAGCCCAAAAGCTCTAAACACAACGCCTTTATTGTTACAAATCTCCCAGGAGGGCCCCGAAAACTGCCACTGAAAATATGTCCACGTGCCACGAATCACGTGCATAATTACATGCGGTGCTTGTTCCAATTACCAATTGCTTATTCATATCTCCACCTTCTACAAGTTCCAATGGTCGCTATTTACTACCACGACAACCTAGACACGCCCGAGAATTTCACCGAGGACCACGATTCCGGTGTGCCCGTCCCCGAGGACAGGTTGGCGGAAATCGGCGTTTTCTACCGCTACATTGACAATATGGACGAGCTAGAACAGGTTGCAAAAGACAGAGATTACAAGAACAGAGACCAGATTGCGCTCAACTTGGACACTTTCAAGGGCGACCAAAGCGCCTTCGATGCCAAAATGGCCCAGTTCTACAAAGAACACTACCACGAGGATGAGGAGATCAGATACATTTTGGATGGAGAGGGCTTTTTCGATGTCAGAGACCCACAGGACCGCTGGATCCGTGCCAAGCTCAACAAAAACGACTTGTTGGTTTTGCCTGCGGGCATCTACCACCGTTTCACCTTGTCCAAGAGATTGCAGTATGTCAAGGCCATGAGACTCTTCAAGGACGAGCCCAAATGGGAAGCTATCAACAGGGACGAGGGCCGTGACACTGAGGCACGTGTGGAGTACCTGCGCTCCGTGACCAGTGCTGCTTGATTTGTATATTTATAGGGAAGGAATTGTTATGGAAGGGATGTAGAGACCGAGTGTTTAACTGATGGTGAGAGGGAAGTGATGAGTAGAGAAGCTGGGGAAATGTTGAGTAGTTGATATTTAAACATATACTCTCGTGAACCAATGTTTCGAAGGAGTTGAAGTGGTGAAAGTTGGAGTTTGTGAATGAAATATAGGCATTTGAGACTTAGTAGTCAATGAAGAAAGCTCAATGTTTTCTTAAACCTAGACCTCATTAAGTCTCCTCAAATTTCAATTCGAATATATTAGTTGAAATTGCCAAATCTAGTCTATTAATTCCCATTGCCAATATTCATTCTCTGAAAATTCTGTCTCCTCACTTCAATCACCGCTCAATCCTCCCGGCTACATCACCGTCTATCCATTCTTCATTAACGTCTATAACCTGGCTTACTGCCTGACCACCTTGACCTTGTTTTTCGTGATCCACTCGTCCATCTTCTTTTTCGTCTCCACGAGTTCCTTCTCAAGCGCTGTCTTGGACGCCTCGAGCTCCTTCTTCTCTTCATCTAGAAGCTTGATGACGTCATCAACAGACTTCTCCACCAAAACACCGCCAATCATCTTGAAGCATTTCCTGCCGCCTCTTTGTTCAGGTGGAATACTTGAAAGCGTCTTGTCGACTATACCATGTTCCTGTGCTTGAGACGTTATGGAGGAAAGCTGAGTCTGCAATTCCGTAAGAGCCTCTTGGAAATTGTTGTATTGGATTTGAAGAGCTTGCGTTTTCTGCTCTTCTGATACTTTTTCAGACATGGTGATCTTTGGACCTACTTGTCGCTGGATGCGTTTCTCACCTACTTAACGAAATGGGGTCACGTGCGCAAACCAGTTATTCCCATAAATTGGATCTATACAGCTATTTCTTTTCGGCCTTCTTCTCTGCAGCCTCCTTGGCGGCAGACGCTCCATTGGGCTTCTTCTCGCCAATGTACAAGAAGTTCATGACGAACAAGAACCACGCAGCGATGACGGTGCCAAAAGTCGCCAAGTACAACCAGGAGTTGGGGATGTCCCACGAACGCTTGTACTCGTCGTTGGCCAAGTGTCTCACGGTGACCACGCGTCTGTCTTCGATGAAAGTCAAGCCAGGACGCTTGTAGTCCAACTCGAATGTGAACATGCCGTGGTGGTCTGGGGTGGTGAAGTTCACGTAGAAGATGGTCAAGTCATCGGGGCCGTTTTCAGTAGAGGCGCCAGGGCCCAAAGCGGTCAAGTTCAAACGCTGGTATGGGTCCAACATCTTGAAAGACAATTGCAAGACGTCGTCCTCGGTAGCAGGAACGTATGGCACCCACTGGCCGTCCTTCCACTCAGAAACACCGGCCGTGTACACCACATCGTTCTTGATTCTGTACTGCGTGCGGTCGGAGAGACCTGGCTCGTCAGCCTTGTAGTGCTCAACAAACTGCAACTTCAACACGCCCTTCTCCTGGAACACCCAGCGGACCAAGTCCTCGTTGAGCAATTGCTCAGAACCAACCCAAGCGATACGAGCACTGTTGAGACCCTGGAAAGCAGCGGCCAAGAAGCACTGCTCGCCCAAAGTCCATGTCTTCTCGGCGATCAACGCAGAATCCTTGGGGCTGGCGGTGAACGAGGTTTTGGCACCCTTGACGAGGGGAAGCGCAAAGGCGTTGTTGCTGACCAAAGCAGCCGTGCCCTTGTACTCTGGAACTTCGGCAGCGCCAATGATGCGGGGCTCCACGACGTTGGAGGCTCCCACAGACACCTTCTCAAAGTGGTCCTCAACCACAAAGCCCTTAGGAGCAGGGTAGATGCCAGCTTCGTTCAAAAACAAACGCACGTGTTCAGGCAAAGCGCTCTCGGCACCCAGCACAGCCAACACATTACCACCTTTGTTGAAGAATTCAAGCAACTTGAACTTGTCCACGATACCGGTGGCAGCAGCGCTACGCTTCAGCGAAGGCAAGAACACCACGTGGCTATAAATAGAATCCTCACCCAAAAACAATTGGGCTGCATCGTCAGCGTAATCCACGTAGCTGACCTTGTATTTGTCGTTGACTTCTAGAAGATGGTCCAAGTTGGCTTCTTCAGGCAGCGACAATGTCGCGTCGTACATGACCAAGACCTGCGTCTCGGGCAATGACGAAAGCAAGGCCCATGCTGTGGAGATAAGCACGAAAAGGGCGGTAATCCGGGCCAGAAAGTGCATGGTTGTGGTTGTTGAAGTTGAAAAGGTGGTTTTCGGGTTGACGTGTGCGCACTGTGTGCAGGTCGGTTTGGGTTCTGGAGGCTAAAGTGGCGAACCAAAGGTGGCAAAACAGGTGGCATTTTGCAAGTGGGGATGGCAAATGGTGGTGGGTTTTGGTGTTTTTGGGTATTTTGTATAATTGAGTTTGAATGTGGTGATTTAGTGGCAATTTGAAGAGATTACGTGGTGGCACTGTTCGAGGGAGGGTGGTTTTAAATGGACAAGGTCAAAATCGACAATAAACGGATATTCGAGGTATAGCTACATCATTGAATAAATGCTAGATGTGTATTGTTTTTCATTTTTCTCTTTTAATGCTGTTGTGTCAGATACATGGTGGGTGCATTGGCTGCGAAATTTGGACAGACTGCTCAAATTGACTGGCATGCTTTTTTCTTATTTTGCAATTGAGCTAAGCTTGCTCTTGTTTGATATTGATTTAGCCCTTTGAGTAGATAGTGTTATTGCTCTCTCATTTAGGCCAAGTGACTGACTGTCATCTCGAGTGGTTCAAGCTGAGCGTTCCACTTATTCAGTGACCAAACCAACGCCATTAACGTAGAATTATCACCAAACAGGCCAGGATCAGCTCTCCACCAACTCAATTGCTCACTTTGCCTGTCACCTGCCATTTACCGTTCCTCACCCTAATTGACATTTCCCAACAGTCTGCCTTCATTTTTGTCAATCACCACACCATTCCAACAAATGGCCCGAATACCATTCAAAAATGCCCTCCAAAAAATCAAAAAAGAAGGCACGCCGCTTCGGAAACGTCAAAAAGATACGGCACAAAAGTCCTCCTTCTGTGGTGTCTTGAAGACCTCCACTTAACCAGTGCATGCATCCACAGGGTCAAAATCGAAAGTAGGCTCATGATGACAATCACAAAAAATCCACAGAGTAAACAGTAAACTCCAAGCAGAAGAGACCAGAAACATTACAAGCAGAAAAACGTAAAACAATATATAACCCCCGTCGGCAACTCCTCATGGGCCTTTCAGCCAAACCTAATTCGAAAAAGAGCCTCGCCAAGGCCCTTGCCCCGTGGGAGCAGCAGCTGCGCCTGGAGATAAATGATCATTCTTTACGAAAGCCAGCATGGATATTCAAATGAGAAAATCCTAGAGATCGGGGAAATCGAGGCTGATGTAGACCAGTTAGGAATGTGGGCGGGAGTTTGCAGAGCGCTGCGTGGTTTAACTAAGGGAGGCTTTTCCCAAGGCAGGAGAATCTGTTTTGACACATTCCTTATTAGGTCATTGATCCTTGTTTGGGGTATGGACGGGCTGAAGCACGGGGTGTATTTCGCAGCCACTAGCCGGTGGGTCCATCAAGGAGGTTTTGGAAAGTGGGCAAATTGAGCTGAAGGGGATTGATTTCGATGGGACAATTGAAATCTCTATTTTTTGTTTTTGACAGAAATTGCTGTAGTCAAATGTGTATCACTGTCAAATGTGTATCACTGCCTGGTCCATCTCTACATAGTGTTCGCGTTTTCCATCTCATCCACCTCCAATGATCAAGATAAAGGTAGAGTTTCTCGGCGGCCTCGACGTGATTTCTGGTAAAGTCAGGGAACATCGCTTGTCTCTTCCTTTGGAAGAGGGCGAGGCCACCATGAAAGACGTCATTGACCATATCACGAAAACGATCATCGAGCACGAGAAAGACATTCCTGTCTTTATTGAAGAGGGAACCGTCAGACCAGGCATTTTGGTGTTGATTAATGACACTGACTGGGAGCTTGAGGACAAGGAGGACTATGTGGTGGAGTCTGGCGATGTGTTTACGTTCACGTCGACTCTCCATGGCGGTTGATGAGGTGGAGGTGTGTTGGTTAGAGGATGTGGGAGAGGCGGAGGAGGGAGGATATTGGAATTGTTTTCAATAGAATGGTGTTTTAAGAGAAATTTGAAGGTTGAAGAACAATGCTTTCCTGATCTGCTTTGAAGAACGGTTGAAGTGCTCTTTACTTCAAGATACTTGAAGTATGTCCATCTGGATACAGAAAATATCGATGGCTTCCACCAACACTCGACCATCGAACCATATAAATGGTCAGGTAATTGGCCTTCTGGCGCACCTGGCTTACAGTCCTTCAGAGTCCGTCCCTGTCCATTGTCTATAAATGCCAATTCGCCATTCTCCCAATCCTGAATGCCTAGAAGCAGTAAGTCACGGCGTGGCCCGCCTAGTAAGGCACAATGTGGCACCCGAGAAGGCCCTGGCCGGGCCAGTCTGGCGTAGGGGTCAAGATGAGCGTCTCCCTGTTCTGACCCCGAAGTACCTCCACCACGATCTCCTTGCCCACGTTGCCCTTAACCTTGTTGCCCACGGCACTCAACTTATTGTGGTTTCCAGCGTGGACGTCCTCGCCAAATACGACTATCTTGTCGTTTTCTTGCAACCCGGACTTCTGTGCTGGGCTGCTCTCTGCGACGCTCTTCACCAAGGCAAAGGGGATGATTCTCTGTGGGGCAACTCTAGCAGATTGAGCTTCAGGAGCACTTCCACTTCCAGCTTGAAGCTGCTTGATCAACTGCTCCTCAAGAAGTCCGAGAATGCATTTGTGGTCGTTTCGTAGACGAATGATCTTGGTTCTGATAAGCCTGACAGCTAGCACGTCAATATCGCTACGTGGGAAACCGTCAATTACAAGCGGCAGCTCCATATCGCAGTTGTACCGGTGCTTTAGCGTGTCGAATAGGGAAGTGAGCAGCACCTCCACCTCGTCTTTCAACCCAGCGAGACGTTGATAGTCCAATTTGGAGAGCTCGTTGTGATTGTAATCCTGAACCTCAATATTGAGGTCTTTCATGAGCCCTGCAAACGCGTCATCTCTGTTTTCAATGGTCATCTTGGGTGGTAGAAGCTGAAGGCGATTGTGGTACAGAAGTAGGTGACACACCTGTACACCACGGACTAGTGTAATGGCATGGAAGGAAGTGATGGAGTTATTAGATGTAATTAGGGTGGGAAATTATACAGAAAAGATGCAATTTATCACATTGAAGGCTATTGTATATTATGACGTACTTGGTATAATTTGTCGTTACGTGCGTTCGCTCAAAGGGAGTGGTTGCAAAACCTCGTTTTCCTCTAAAGGATGAAAGTTACTAGGGTGTCCGTATTTTCTGGATGAACATCTTTTCCAATTCCCTCAATACGCTCTTTGTCACAGTCTTTGAAAATGAAAGCCCCATTTCTATCCAGAAACTTCTTTGTTCAGTATAGTTCGGCGACCCAGAAGGTTCTTTGGACGAAAATTAAACGTACCTTTGATAATTTTCCACCCAAAAAGGGAGGTTCAGATTATAATTCTGCGACTCTAAGGCATGCGTGACATATTCTGAGAAAATAAATTTAGACATGCCTCTTAGGGCCGTTTGGATGACTGTCTCGCTTCAAAAATAAAAAACTTGTATTACATGGCTTGAAAATAATGCTCTCCAAAGAAGGCTCTGGAAGAACTTGACGGTTTTTGGACAATTTTTGCACTTCCCAGGGTGCCCATTTTGATCAAATTTTTTGTACCTGGTCCAGGGTTTTTCCAACTTCAATGCTCACCTACCATCTCCACAATACACCTCTACACAAATTATCAACATCAAAATGTAGCCAGAAACCAGGGCTTTCACGCCGTTCCATTAATTCCATTTCTAAATCCAAATTCTCTATTGTGGCACTACGACAACCCCCCAGACAACAAATCCACCGTTTTTTGCTAAAAAATAATTCACCGCTGGAGTTTCCCATTTGCAACCATCGATGACACCTCCTTCCAGAGCCCACCCGGCGGAACATAAATAGAGGGCCATCCTCCCACTTTTTTCTTCTTCATCCCACCACACTTCCTCATATGTCAGCTTTCGAAAACGTTTCAGAGATTCAAACTTCAAAGATGCACGAACAAAAGACTACCAGAGCCGCCTTCAAGGCTCTCACCGAGACTATCCAGCGTTTCATCTTCAAGCAAGGCTCCTCCACGGAGGACCCCCAGGTCCAGAACCCACAGTGTCTGACCAACCATCACCACAACTTGGTATGCCTGGCTGCAGCAGGTATGAACTTAGTTGCTGGAGGTTACTCAGACCCTCTTTGCGGCTACCAAGGCTGCACGACCAACCCTTACCCTGGCTTCACCGACTACCAGGGTAGCAGTGGCTCTTCATTGATTGAAGGAATCACCACTGCCTCTCAGGAGCAAAAGAGCTCCACTAATGCTACTCAGCATGAAAACCTTCCCCAGTTTTCCCAGACCAATGTTCCTTCTGCTCAAGTTGTTGCCTTGAGCGACTCCGAGGAACTCGAGGATCTTTACGTCGACCACGAAAGAATCTTCAACCCCGAGGCTATTGGAGCCTGGTTGGAGGATGTCGATTTGGAAAACGCCGAGGCTGTCTCGATGCCCAGTTCCATTGCCAGTCTCAGCGACTTGGAAGACGACGTTTCAAGCGACGTTTCAAGCGACGTTTCAAACGATGTTTCGAACGTTTCAGGCGACGTTTCGGAAACCAGCTTCTCCGGCGACAGTTTCTTCGACTGTGGCAGCGTTTCCGATGACGAGTCCGTCTATGAAACGGCCGCCGAGGACTTTGACGAGTTTGTCAAGCCTCCTCGTGCCAGAGCTTCCAAGAAGCCGGTTTCGCTTTTGATTTCTATGGAAAAGTCCCGTTATAAGCGGTTCAAGAAGACACTCCATAGAAAAGCCGCCGTTTCTCGGTTCGACCTTCTTCCCCAGAAGAACCCTTTTGAGGTTCTTCACGTCGAGCCCACATTCGAGAAACGCCGCAAGACCACGTGGATTCCGTTGTTGACGAACTTCAGTTTACCTGAACCCACCAGTCCAGTCCCCAATTACAGAGATGCCAATCCTCTTTGGGACATCCAGACGATGGAGACTGGTGACTTCAACATCTACCACAAGGCCTTCTGAGGCGCCGTGGAACTACCAAAAAAATTATATAAAAAGAAGAAAAAAATAAATAAAATTGAAAATGTTTTGTAGAGTAGGTGGTGGAGTAGGTGGTGGTGGAGTAGGTGATGGATTGAGAAGGTGCAAGGGAAGAGCTCTCACAAAAGGGAGGTATAGTTTTGAAAAAAAAAAAAAATAAAAAAAAAGTCGAAACAAGTATTCCATTACGTTCCATTAGAATTCACTACGAAACTCCAGCACAATACCTCAAGTCAATCAGGGGCATTCCTGGGATTTCCTGGTTTCCTGATCCATCCAAGCGCCAAGTATACAGACAATAAAGACTACACTGCTACTACAGACGGAACCGGCAGTAATCCGAATGCCGAAGCTTATTTCTGCACCTGTTGTGCAACTATAGCCCAGTACAATAGCCATTGAGGCAACGGTGCATTTGACAAGCTCAGGCTTATTCCCCTCCATCCTGGTTTCTAAGAAAGCGGAAGTTTTTCTAGACGACCCCAGTTATCCTGGATGACGGCTCCAAAGAATCTATTCACTTTTTTGACTTCAAACACCCCCAAAAGTAAACCCTACGAAAGCAACCAAACCTCGTATATCAACAATAGTCGGCGATGTCTCACAATGAACATGGCGGGAGCTTTACAAAGAAAAGTTAAGCACCTTGGAATGCCGAAACAGCAAACGGTGAGCAACTAAACAGCATTGGCGATTTCGTAAAAATAGTTACACAAGGACCCTTGCAGATCAGAGCCACATGCTCGGTTCTTTGGTGGTCTTGCTCCGAATACTCCACCTCCATTCCCGCCGTCGGGAATTGGCTAAGATTTATCATTATCTGAAATTTCATTATTAGTTTCTTAAGCAATCCCCGGAAACAGCAGACATTGATGGACCGCAAATCTGATGCTTTGTTACCTTAATTATCTGTAGCCACTGAGCTACTTCGGTCCGGCAGATTTGCCAATACCCAATTTCAGAAAAACGTCATTCTACCTACTTGACCCCTTTTTTCATTCTCGTCTGCCACAATTTCACCAAATACCATCCCCCCTGTTTCACTCCGAAACAAGCCTAGGCCCACCTCCTACACTGCAAAACCCAAAACCGTACATTCATAAATTCACTAATTTACTCAAATTTCCACTTACTCAATTCTCTTCCAAATTCATTATTTATTCATCAATTCATCACTATAAACCAGCCCGCTGGCCTAGGGGAAGCAGCATCCGGTCAACCTGCCTTTGGACAGCCTGCTCTAACTCATATAGGTACTGTTTGAACGCTTCTAGCGCCTCGTCAACTTGTGCTATTTCGGTCATTGGCGAAAAAATAAAAAAATTGGTAAAACGGCGCAAGCGCTCCTTTTTATGTTCGTTTGCAGCCATTTACGAGAAGAATCCAACGTCATGTCCTGCACAGAAGCGGGTAGCTAAGCCAGGGCTTCCGACGGGTGTCATATGGCCATTTCCCCTCCAGTACTGTACCGTATTTACGAGCCGGCTCGTAATGACAGAATGGGCTTCGGACTTATCACTGTGGCGCCCGACGGGCAAATTGAGGCTTGGGAGGTGACATTTGCGACAACGGCTGTCAACGGGGAGATTTTCGGCAGAAACGAAAAATGCAATGGATATTTTATTGGAATTCACGTGATACATCATGTGATGCACGTGCTGCATCACGTGCACATCAACGATGCGGCTCGATTGCAAAAACTCACGTGACTTGTGCAGCCTACTCCAGAACCTATCCAGAGGTTTGGATTAGTCAAAGGCTCTTCTCCCGTTGTACAAGATGATCTCGCTATCCCAGGAACACATAGACCATTTGAACAAAACGTTGGTGCAGCTCTCGCCGCAGGAGGTGCTCCAGTGGGCCGCCGTGACCTTCCCCCATTTATACCAAACCACCGCTTTTGGACTCACGGGGTTGGTGATTCTCGATATGATTTCCAAAACAAAGCCCGTGGATCTCATCTTCATCGACACCTTGCACCATTTCCCGCAGACGTACGAGTTGGTGGAAAAAGTCCAGCAAAAGTACAATCCACAGTTGCACATCTACAAACCCAAGGATGTGGAAAACGAGGAAGAGTTCGCCAAGAAGCACGGCGACTCGCTTTGGGAAAGCAACGACGATCTCTACGATTTTCTTGTCAAGGTGGAGCCTTCCCAAAGAGCTTACAAGGAGCTCGGCGTGAATGCCGTTCTTACAGGACGCAGAAAGTCCCAAGGAGGAGCCCGTGCTGCCTTGCCGGTGGTGGAGGTGGAGCAGCTGAGCGGAATTATCAAGATCAACCCGTTGTGGAACTGGGACTTTGCCCAGGTGAAGGCGTACATCACGGAAAACAACGTTCCTTACAACGAATTGCTTGATTTGGGATACAAGCTGATTGGCGACTGGCACCTGACGGTTGCTGTTGCCGACGGAGAGGACGAGCGGTCGGGCAGATGGAAGGGCAAGACCAAGACGGAATGTGGCATCCATGAAACGTCACGTTTTGCTCAGTACTTGGCCAGTTCCAGCTCGCAGGCCTAGCTGGGTGGTATTTATTAATACAGCATTATAGAGGGTAGTGTGGGGGCACTGTAGATGAGTGTAGATGAGTGAAGAGCTCAGTTGTTGTTTTAAAAGAGCTTGAGGCATTGATCTGTGGAATTAATGATTCATTATAGTGCTATCTGTGCTATAGCCTTCTAGGTCCTCCAAGCATTCTCCTAACCGGTAGGGCACCTTTTCCGATTCCGCTATTCCGTCTCCACCAGTGACATTCTGCCCTGTGCGTCTAACGCAGCTCTAAACCATCCGTTATAATATCTCTCACATATCTCTCCACCAGGCTTAGGTTCCGCGCATAGATAAGACGCATGGAACCACTGACACATCAACGGAATTGGCCCTATCGCCGAGGCCCTGTTTTCAAATATAGACGTTTTCTGCCATTTCCAGAACGGTTTGTTTAGCTTGCTGCCACGTATCTGCACCGTGGTCCCCCCTGGTCCTGCTAAACCCCGGATAACGGAATCTTACCCTATCGCGGTAATGCGGAATGTATGTGTCAAACCATCGCTATTTTACCTCCATATCTAAACACTCGTCTACGCTCATTTCTCATCCATGATCAAAGAAGCCGTGCTATATGCCTATAGCTCTGTGGCCAATCACCAGGAGCACATCTGTGCGGTGTTGCTAGTGTGGTTGGTGTTGCATACCTTCGTTTTGCACCCATTCTTGATATCTCCTTTGAGACACGTTCCAGGGCCTTATTGGAACAGGGTGCTGAAGTTTCCATTTATGAAGGCATCTTGGGGTGCTAGTCTCGTGACCAAGACACACCGGTGGCACGCTGAGTATGGTGATGTGGTTATATTGGCTCCCAATATGGTATCCTGTAATGGAGATCCAAAGTACTTGACGGACATATACACGAAGAACATGCCCAAGCTGCGTTTCTACGAGAACTTCCTGAACCACGGGAACCGCAAGAACGTATTCAGCACCTTGACGAACCCAGAACACCTCCGGCTCAAGAAGATCATTCAGAACTTGTACCTGAAAGGAGCTGTGCTTAAGAACGTGAACCGTCAGAACTTGATAGAGAAGGTGACGTTTTTGATGGAGGACTTGCAGCGAAACAGAGGCGTCCTGGTGGACGTTTTCACGCTTTTTGCGGCGTTGGCAATGGATGCCGTGAGTGGGTTTGAGGTGGGATTGCAGAACAGCACTGATCTTCTTCAAAAACCGGAAAAACGGCCCATTGTGGCATCTTTTCGGAACATCTCGTCCATGGGGTTCTGGACGACGAGAATGCCGTGGTTCTGGGGATTCGCCGCTACAAAACAGATTCTCCAGGATGTGGATGTCTGTGACAAGTTTGAGATGGACTTGTACAACCAGGCTGAGGCCAACGTTCCAGAAAAACAGCCAGGCGTGAATTTGACGACACTAGAGGCGTTGAAAAGAAGCGGTATTCGTGGGAAAGATGCTTATTCCTTGCTTACAGATAACCTTTTTGCTGGGCATGAAACCACAGCAGTTCTGATGACATACCTCTGCTTCCAGCTTTCCAGGGACATCAACAAAAACAGACAAGAGCGGCTCAGAAACGAAATTAGGGGTAATTTCGGCACGGGAACGTTTCCCCAAATCGTGGACGACATAGAAGCCGTGGACAGACTTCCCTACCTTGATGCCGTGCTAAAAGAAACCATGAGGGTGCATTCCGCTATCCCGGGTTCAGAACCTAGGGTCACAGACAGACCCTATGAAGTCTCCATCGACGGCAAATGTGTGAGAATTCCGCTGGGTACGGAAATCTCCTGTCAGCCTTATTCGATGCACAGAGTGGAGCTGGTTTTCCCCCAGTCGGACGAGTGGATTCCCGAACGCTGGCTCCAAGGAGAATTCGAAAAATACGAAGATTACAGTGCCAGAATCCAGACCATGAACAAGTACGTTTTCGCTTTTGGAAAGGGAATCCGTATGTGTCTTGGCATGAACTTGGCCGTCACCGAAATGAAGCTAGCCTGTGCCAACATGTACTGGCGTTTCCAGTCCAGCATTGATCGGGAATGGTGCTCTGGCAGTGCCACGAAAAACACGAATTCGATTCCTTTGGGGTATCACAGTTATGATACTTCTTCGGAGAGGGGGATCATGACCATGGCCGATGCGTATACAACAAGGCCAGAGGGTGAAGAATGCTGGCTTGTTTGGACGGAAGTTTCGTGAAACCTGGGGTTGGATAGTTTGTACTTTGTAGAAGGAATACGATATTAGCTGGTATGAGTTTGGATGTAGATGAGTAAAAAGGGGTGGACTTTTCATTGGATTTGAAGAAATGTCGCTTAACAACTTAAACGTTCTTGTATAATTGTGAAGGGCAGTTCTTTAAAGTAAGATGGTTGGTGAATTGGTTGGATTGGTGAGGGAGCTATCTAGAGTCGATAGAAGTTTCCCTACCACAAAACCGTTTTTATAAAAAAAAAAAAATCATTTTAAGCAAAGTACTGATAATAATATCTGATTTTACGTGAAAAGATAATAAAAATGATTCATCAGGTGGGGTTTAATTGACTTTATAGGTGTTTTTAAAAACCCATACCTCCGCAAAATCTGGGGTTTTGGTCATAAAACCCATACCTCCGTAACCAGTTTTTCAAAAATCGTCAAAGTGGCGGATTTTCAAGGGTCCCCCCTTAGAAGGCAATTTTCCAAAATTTGAAACTGACATATTTCTTCAGCTCTTGCTGATTGGTTTGTCATAGTGGTATCGCTAGAAAGCTTAGCTTTTGAGCTCTACAATGAGTGTCATTAGAAGTCGCTAGCACTTAGAATCGTCCGCTAATAAGCTAAAATCAATTATTTCATGGAGCGCATACAACACTAAGCAGGAGTAAAATATCAAAACTTGAAAACGGCTACTTTCACACTAAAATCCCTTTCTTTTTGACGTCAATTTTAATTAGTAAAGAGCTTACAATGTATCATTGGTGCTTTTTTGCAGCCATTTATGTAACCCGAACTTCTATGACACCGAAGCATGTTGGTCAATTACATAAATGAAGGGGAATTCGGGCCTATATAGGAATCTGTCGAAGTGAATGGAGAGCCAGATGTTATAGCGAAACGTCAACATATCGTTACTACATCTTTCCTCTCGTATTGCAGAGGAGAAATCTTCCTTTCGTCTGATATCACGCACCCCAGGTACATATTCTAGAACAACTAGATGTCTATAGCTTTAATCCATGGTTCTTCACTTAATTATGACTAGACAATTATATAATTGCCCAAATATGGTGGTTACTTGTGGTCTAAAGGGCCTTTGAAAAACCCATACCTCCTCAAAATCTGGGGTTTTGGTCATAAAACCCATACCTCCGAAACCAGTTTTTCAAAAATCGTCAAGTTGTCCGATTTTCAAGGGTCCCCCCTTGGAAGGCATTTTTTCAGAATTTCAGATTGGCACATCTCTTCAACCCTTGCTGATTGATTTATCATAAGGGTATCCTTAGAAAGCTGAACTTCTGAGCTCTACAATGAGTGTACTTAGAAGTCGCTAGCACTTGTAATTGACTGGTAATAAGCTAGAAACAAAAACCTCATTGAGCGCATACGACATTAAGCAGGAGTAAATTGTCAAAGCTTCAAATTGCCCATTTATCACTAAGATACATCTCTTTTGACGTGAATTACATTAAGTAAATGGGTCACAATGGATCATTGGTGCTTTTTTGCAGCCAGTTATGTAACCTAACTCTGTATGATGGCGAACCACCTTAGTCAATTGCATGAGGGAAGGGGAATTCGGGCTTACATAGGAATCCGTCGAAGTGAATGGAGGGCCAGATGTTATAGTAAAACATCAACATATCGTTACTACGCCTTTCTTCTCATCTTACAGAAAGAAAGTCTTCTTTTCGTCTGTTACACACACCCCAGCCAAAATTTTCAAAATAATTAGATGTCAGTAGCTTTTATCGAAGGTTCTTTATTTGATTACGATTAGATAATTATATAATTGCCCATATATGGTGGTGAAATATGGTCGAAAGGGCTTCAGAAAAACCCATACCTCCTCAAAATCTGGGGTTTTGGTCATAAAACCCGGACATCCCAAACCGGTTTTTTGAAAATTCCAAGATTTACTGATTTCAAAGGGTCCCCCCTTGAGCAGGCATTTTTCAGTATTTGAAATGTATAATTGCTCTAAATACATGCCACATAACGTACTTAAAGTTGTTTCAACAGAGAGCCAGGCTTTTGAGCTCTATAATGAGCACGCTTAGAGGTCGCTAGTACAATTTATCGTGTAGTTTTAGGGAAATGTTCAGACTCGCTCAAGTGCATCATCACAATCTCAGCTACAATTAATGTGTTGATGTTTCTTTTGACAATGACTAAGCATTTAAATTCCATTTTCCTTCCTCCAAACAGTACGTTTTGCAACCATTTACAGATTTTGAGTCAAGACTAATACTTGGCTGATTGGAAAATCATCCATAGCAAAGAATGATAGTACGTATAGCCCATTCTTTTGAGCGATGTTCAGCTTAAGCTACTACTACAGCTCAATGTATGGTAACTGATTCGACGAATGCAGAACTACAAATGAACGGTCTTTATAACGTATACTTTTTCATACCTTGACTTCCCATCTTAAGTGGTCTAGAGGGCTTATAAAGATCCATGCATCCCCAAAATCTGGGGTTTAGGTCCTAAAACCCGTGCCGCTGAATCCTATATTTCGATATTGTCGACTTTTAACACTTCACAAGGGTCCCCCCTTTCAAGTCAAAGTTATGTATATTTAATAAAAACTTGGTAATAAAGATACTGAAAAAAGCTGTTTCAACAACTAGTATTGATGAAGCCTATGTGAAAGAATGTTAAGATGCTATCAACCAAGAAAATGGAGACTTGGTAATAAAGATACTAAAAAAAAAAGTTATCTGATTATCCCGATTTTAAGTGCCATCATCCAAACAAAACAACTAAATACACTTCCTGCTTTTCGTATTGTATATCAGCATAGCCTATTTGACACGATTGTATTACCTAAAGACGTATGGGTACTTGTGATTGAGATGAAGAAAGTCACAGAGCGATGAAGCCAACAATAGAAGTCAAGTTTTAAGTAGCGTTTCATAGAATTAAAGAGTCTCGGTCTTGCTTGCCTGCCCTCGAAATCCCGGATAAATCGTCTGCAACCACAAAATAATAAATTAGACAAGAGTGCATAATGCTATTATCGTGCATAATCTAGCATACTAATTGCATGTTGTTCACGCGCTCATAACCATGTTTTACAGTAAAGTATGAGGCCCTCAGGGCCCCATGGTCTCACTATATACTAAAAGTCAAAAATCAAAAAACAAAAAAAAAAAAAAAAAAACCGCATAGCCTTACGCGGAAGGAAAGAGAAAAGTCAATTTTCCTTTTTCACGACGTGCCCTCGTCCCACATTGACAACCTGAGAGACGATGAACACATCTAACACCATCATTTCTTTTTTTGAGCCCAAAAAGAGCCACAGAGAAAATCCAACCCAAAAACTCGGCAAATTCCCAAAAAGCATATCCAATAATGAGTGCATCCAGCTGACCCCTGGAGTACACCCACCTTCAGTTTTCAAGCAGCCAAACTGAACACAACAAAACCCCCAGACCCGGTACCTGAGTCTTTCAACATTTGACCATAACCACCTCGGTGAAAACTCACCGTACGACACCCAGTCATGGCCACCAGGGCGAGGAAACCAGCCCTCCAGAAGAATACGACTCAGATCCAGTGGTTTTCTGAATCCAAGAAGCCCCATCTCGCTAAACCAGCAGCACTTGCTTTCACAAGAGCATCCACTGTGCCGAAGCACTACGACCTGGCTGGCGTGGTGCCCAGATCCAGGAAGTACCCTCCTCCACCCTATAGCCAAAGCAATCCGAAGACGTCCTTGACCTTTGATAATCCGTCATACCCTCTAACCCACAAACCCTCCTTTTCCCAGATTTCTCCAGAAAAAGGGACCACTGTATCCGCAGATACTACTCCTGACCAGCGTGGTCTTGGTCGACCAGGAGATCACCCACCAATACTAGCACAGCCCTCGACCCTCCTTCCGAAGAAGGGACCACAAACTACGACCTGGCTGTTGTGGCCTTGTTCAGCCAGGAAGTCCTCCCTCCACCCTGAGACACTCAGTGTCTCCATTGCCTTATGGGTGTCCTTAAGAAGGTCTCAAACCTCAATAAAGGTAGCCCCAGATAATCCCCCAGAACCCAATCCCCCAGAACCCAATCCCCCAGATACCCAATCCCCCAGAACCCACACCCTGAAACCAGGGAAGCCATTGCCTTTCGGCGTACGTTTCCACCAGCATGGCCAACTGACGGAACAAAACCCACAAAGTGGAAGCTGCAAAGCAGCAAAAACACCTATACATGAGGAGCCCGGGTACCTCGAGATCCTCCAAAACCGACGAGACTTGGGTCAGAAGACCCCGCCGGTTCTTCTTCTATAGCAGAAGATCCAAAATACGGTTTCCAGCTTCAACAGTTCCGTGGAACCTCCCCAATTCGGCTCTGCCTTGAGGACAACCTCACCAGAACGGTAGTCCAGAAAGCATTGCACCAGCTTCAGCAGCTTCAGATTCCTGTTCCTGAAATCCAAAACCAGCGCCCTCTGAGCAGTTACTCGTCTTTACATGCACTGGCCAAGTGCCCTCCAGACGGTCACTGAACAGAAGGAGAAGCCAAAGTTCCCTTAGAGAGACAGCACAAAGCGGTATTCGCCAAAACGCCATTTTGAATGCCTCAAGCACAAAGAAAAAGAGCCCTGTGTCGTGGCAGCCTGACACGTCAACGTTGCCGTTCCCTGGTTCGGCTTTGTGATCTGTGGTGATTCTGAGTCCCAGAAGGTGGGAATCCCGTCGCCATTTAGAGAGATTTGGCGACAGGGGCTCAAAAACACAGCTCATTCAGACAAAGGCTTCAAAGTTTAGCCGACTTGCCTGGCTCCTGGCTGATCAGACCGGGATGTTTGTGTAGAAATGACGGTTACAGTCCAGAGGAATAGAGGACTGTGGAGTGACGGACCGAGAGAAATGAAGATTCACGGGGCTTTGGGGGCGTCGTAGAAGCAGAAAAAAAGAAGGTTTTTGACGTCCCCAGAGCGTTTTGGTGAATTTTTGTGAAAGAAGAGTAGTTCTTGGTTGTGGTTTGTGAGTCGCGAGGATTGACGGTGTATGTGGAGGGAGGTTTCTGGGGGTGTTAAGGAAGGAGGGGAAGAAATGGGTTTTTGAGGGGAGTTTTGGGGTAAAGAGGGTGGGCGATTTCGAGTGGTGTTGTTTTTGGGGGATTTTGTAGGTTTGTGTGGTTCTGGAGTGGGTCGTTGTGGGTGGTAGTATGGGGAGTGCCATATCTGGGTTACTTTCATGACAACGCATGAATTGGGAATAATTGCAGTCATATTAGGGCTTACAGGCTTTGAAAGTCTTATTATATCGCTTCTAGGTGTTATTTACGGTTCAGGTCACCTTCAATATCTGGTAGTACTGCCCTCTTACAGGTGGAGGCTATTCTTCTGAGAGTAGGGCTTTTCGGAGGAAAAAAGAGGCTTTCTATGCTTCTTCACGGATAATCTACTGATTTAAGCCCTCCATGTGTGAACAAGTCCTCTGTATCTCGAGAAAAGTAGCACACATGGCTCTACAGATGCCCTACACTGTTCACACTATATCGAGCCATTGACCCACTAAAAGAATGTTCCCGTTCCTTTTTCACTGATTTTTAATAACCTACACTCGATTAGGCCCCCATTCTTTATCTGCTGAGACGTTGTCGTGCTCACCACTCATTGCTTGATGGAACGCCTCAATGGATAAGCAGACACCTGGTTTCCATACCCAATACCATGATTTCAACCCATATATGAATTAATCCTTGGAAATCCTCTCGAAATCACTCATTTTCCGTGTCACAGAGCTCAATTGAAGCGCAATCCCTCTCTACCTCTTGAATAGCCTATGCCGCCGACGAGTCTAAATACCCTACGAAGAAGAGACGAACAAAACATTAACGGAAGTCAATTGAACAACAGTACCTCTAAAATCTGTAGAATGGCATCTGTAGTCCATGCTTTATGCAAAAGTCACTCTCAATGGCTGGTACTCCCTCGAACTACTGCTGAGAACAACCCATCACTCCATCTAGACACTTGACCTGACAGGTCCCTTACAAGCTAACCAGAATAACTCTTTCCCAAAAACTCACCAATCCACTTCCCTTTCCAACACACCAGAAACCTCGCCAGATCACCACCTCTACATGCTCCATCTACCATGCCTCTACACCCACCTACCTTGTCACCTCCCACCGAACAATGGCCAGCTTCCTCCATAGACTCTCTCCACCCTGGTGGCCCCAAACCTCCCAATCCTCCGAAACCCACCTTCCCAAAAAAACCCAACCAATCCAGCCATTTAACCCACCGCACTCCTCATCTTCATAACCCACTCCCTAGACCCTCCAACACTCACCCTTTTTCACCCTTTTTACATCCTCCATGCAGCAACGTCGTAGCGAGGTAAGCGAGCCCATTGGACAACACCAACCGTCTCGCCACCAAAAAACGCCACTTCTCTAAACCACCCCATAAAGGGATTTTCCGCTCTGGCCATTTTTCCGAGATCCCTCACAATGACCGGGTCCCTGGACACTTTCCCCGCCAGCCCCTCCTACAGCATTGTCTCGGGAAAAAGCTTAAACTTCCACCTCAAGCCAATCAGACCGAGCCTATTTTGCCCCACCGGGCTTAGACCCCACTTGGCCCTAACAAATTTTGCCTTTTAGGTTCGTTTACTGCTTGGGGTTATTCCTTGACACCTGCAGGTGCCACGGTTTAGCTGCGGCGTCGTGCAGCACCACACAGAAACCGTTTCCACACAAGGCGCAAGTGTTTCCGCTGCCGGGGGGCGAAATGCCTGCTGATTTGCCGGTAAATGCCCACCTCGGACACGTGGATCTGCATAAATGGGCTTATTTGCAGGAAAAAGCGTCCCTCCTTCGAAAACCGCCCCATCTCACCCGAATCCCACGTCGCAGCACCTCGCAGATGGATCCTCATTGTAGGCGCTGCTAATTAGTAGCATCAGGTCAAAACTGTATGGGTGGTGCGGCGGTCACGTGACCGGCCCGGCCGGCCCCTCTTTGCGTCTGCTTGCAACCACAAGCTCAAGTTCCAAAACCAACCACTTCTTTTTCCTTAAATGCTCCCCTTTGCTATCCCCTACCCGCCCGAGCAGGCCGAGGGCTTCTGGGGCATCCCCACGTCCACCATCGACTGGTGCGAGGAAAACTACGTTGTGCTGCCCTTTATTGCCGAGGCCTTGAACACGCTCACCAACTCCGTCTTCATTGCTTTGGCGGCGTTTGCCATCTTCCACGCCCATATAAACCACTTGGAGCTCCGTTTCCAATTGCTGGCGTTGGGCTTCATGCTCGTGGGCGTCGGGTCCTGGTGCTTTCACATGACCCTTCGGTACGAGTACCAGTTGTTGGACGAGCTTCCCATGATCTACGCCACGTGTATCCCCTTTTGGAGTGTGTTTTCGGAGTTCAAGGACCGCAAGGGCCAGATTGTCGTGGGCGTGGGCATCTTCACCGCCGCCAACTTGCTCACGTTGATCTACTTGCACTTCAAGAACCCCACAATCCACCAGGCAGCCTACGGCTTGTTGAATGCTGGCATCATCTTCAAGTCGTTTTCTTTGGCCAAGGTGCACGTGCACGACGCCAAAGCCTACTCCCAGCTCAACAGAACCATGTTCTGGGGCATAGCGCTTTTCCTCTTTGGCTACTTTTTGTGGAATTGCGATATCCATCTTTGTTCCCACGTTAGAGCGACTAGAAGAGAGTGGGGCATGCCCTACGGCTTTGTGCTTGAAGGCCACGGCTGGTGGCACATTTTCACTGGTGTCGGTGTGTACTTCTATCTTGTGTACGAGGAGTATCTCCGGTGCTTCTTGACAAAGACTGAGCGTTTCTACGAGTTCCGGTGGATAGCAGGCTTGCCTGTGGTGCAGCTAGTTGATGCGGACGGCTTGGTCGCCTTCAAGAAGGCAGAACAGGAAAAGAAGACTATATAGACGTTTTATTCACAACATAGCTAGCACCTCTTGTATGAACTTGTCCTTCAGCTCGTCGGCGCCATCCACAAGCTTGCGGAGCGACGCCACGGCCTCGTCTGATGGCACTTTGCACTTCTTTGTCTCTGGATCAATGCATTGATCCTTCCAGGCCACCAAGATCTTCTTGAGCTTCTCCACACCGACGCTGATTTCTTCGTTCGAGCACTTGGTGCGTTTGCTGCTCACGTAAGGGTCTGCATCGGACCCAGGGTTCAAGTTTTGAAGCTCAGAAGCCTTTCTCTTGGCCATGTTGATGATCTTTGTGGGGAACTTTACGAGCTCGGCAACGTGAATACCAAACGACTTGTCTGAGATACCCGGCTCGACCTTGTACATCAACGTAATATCATCCTCAACCTCGCCCTTCTCGATATGGGCCACCACATGTAGGTTCTGGACCTTTCCTTCGTGTTTCTCTGCCAACTTTGTGAGTTCATGGAAATGCGTAGCGAAAAGCGTGAAGCACCGCTTCTCGCTGATAAGGTGCTCGGAGATTGACCATGCAAGTCCGAAACCATCATACGTACTGGTACCACGGCCCAATTCGTCGATGATAATGAGCGAGTTGTGGGTGGCAGTAGCGAGAATTGACGATGTCTCCAACATTTCAATCATAAAGGTAGACAATCCCTTGAGCTGAGAGTCACCAGCACCAACCCTGGACAAGATAGCATCGAAGATGGGCACTTCAGGCGATGACCCATCCTCCGACGCTGGCACATACGAGCCAATCTGACTCATAAGTGCTATGACACCCACTTGACGGATGTAAGTGGATTTACCACCCATATTAGGACCAGTGATAATCACAAATGGCTTATCGTCGCTGGCCATGATGACATCGTTGTGAATGAAATTGACATCCTCCTGTACTTCCAAAACAGGATGTCTTGCCTCTCTCAACGAGATTTTTCTGGATTTAAATTCCTCGGAATCAGCTGAACCAGCCATGGGGTGAAGCTTGGGCTTGGTGAAGGCGGTAGGTGCAAAGATGGCGACATTAGCGAAAGAGCAAAGCACATCGATATGGCTGAGCACAAGTGATAGACGCATGAAAACCGTCTGGTACGTCAAAGTGATCAGCAAAATCTCCTTGATGAGCTCCTTCTGTTTGGAGTTGTACTCGTCCAGGTACTCATTATATTGTTCTGACAATCTGCGAAGGTTCTTGGTGGTGAAGAAAACACCGGCCTTGACTGTCTGAAGCTCGATGTAGCGGTCTCCAGTGTTTCTCAAGATGGCAGAATCGATACGCGTGACACGGAAACACCAGCCATGCTGCTGGTGTTTTTCAAGCTTGAGTTTCTTCTCAATGTCAATATTAAGGTCGTCAGCCACCTCCTGATGGATTTGCTTGATTTTGCGGCTCGTAGCTTGGAGGTTATCGTTAATAGCCACAAGCAGCTCGTCAAACTCGGGCTTTATGTTGAAGTCGGTGTGTAGAAGGTCGTGGCCGGATTCAAGCGGAGTGAGGTCAATAGTGGTCTCCACAAGCTCCTGGAACTTGACCAACGAGGTATAATGTTTGTTGAGCGGTTCGAGCCACTCGGCAGTCAAAAGGTCCTTAAGGCCCTCGGCTCCATCAGTAGACGACTGAACGGAATTCACGAGCTCTGGCAAAACGGTCACAAGCTGGTAGAGTCTAACAACATCCTCCAATTTCTTGTTCTCCGCACCTGTGGTTTTCTTGACGCCATTGCCGATCTTCTTGAGAAGACGTTTGATATCAGGCACCTGAGAAAGCCATTCCAGAACAAACACACGGAAAGAAGTGTCGTCCATGAAATGGCCGACCAAGGAGTGACGGTCAGAGATGCCTCTCATGTTTGTGAGTGGCTGCTTGAGCCATTGTGAGAGCAAACGGGTACCAGCAGCGGTCTTGCACCGGTTCAAAAGGTCAAAGATCGAAGCCACCGTTGCCTTGGGCCCTGGAAGCGCCAGCGCAGCAGGAAAGATGTTGAGAGCTCGCATCGTCGAGGAGTCGAGCTTCATGTACGAGTGGAGGTTGTACTTGTCGATGGAGAAAGGAGCCTGGTCGTCGCCAAGGAGGTTGAGGTACTGGATGAGCGAGTTGCAGCAGCCCATGGACAAGCTGTACTCGGCGGAATTGATACCCTTGGAGGCAAAGATCATCTCAATGTTGTTGTCGACGTTTTCGTCCAGCACGATCTTCTCCAAGTCCTGCTCAACGTCCTTTGAGTACGTAGACTGCTTCACCGGCAGCACCACCAAGCCCATCTTGGCCAACACCTGGAGCAACTTGGCCATGCTGGCATCGTCCACGTAACCCAGCGGCACAAGCACCTCTCTGGCGCTCACCTGCAAGAACAATGCCTCCAAGTTGGAGTACAACTCTGTATCGTCAAACTCCAGCACCCTAAGGGTTCTGTTCAGCAAATCCGCCAAACAAACACCCACACGCTTGCCGACGCGGACCGAAGCGACCACGGGCGCCAGACCGTCACGGTTCTCGACCTCCACGCCGTATTCCCTCGCCACTCCTTCCAAATTACCAGGAGACGCTGTGGTGATCAAATCAAACTGTTTCGAGTAAACCTCCACCTTACGTCCGCTATCAACACAAAAACGCACCACCTGGGCGAAAACAGCCGTCAGAATGGTCACGTACCGCGTCTTCTGCTGCGTTTTGACCACCAGCTGGGTCTTGTAGATGGCGTCAGCTATAAGAACCGCGTCCTCATCCCAAGCCAGAAAGTAGTCTCTGTGATCCACAAGACGAACGGTTCCAGGAACGGGTTTTAGCGAAGCCGCACGGCGATAAAACAGCCTTTCGTCGCCGGCATCGCTGAATTTAAGTTCGGGTCTGCTGCTCGACATGAAGAAGAAGTAGGTGTAGTTCGCGTATCATCAACAGTGCGGCAGATGGAGGTGTCACGGGTCGGGAGGGTTGCACAAAGGGGGATTTCTGGGGATTTAGAAAAAAAGGAGCGAGAGAAAAGATGGGGGGATCCAGGCGTATTTATACTTTTTGGGGTTTATGGGCTGGGATCTTGATGGGAGTGGTTGGTGAACGCGTATACGCGGTGGCTGCGAAAAGCGTGCTTCGAGGAAGGTGAGTAGATTTACGTGAGTATGAAGTCTTGACGTTTTTTTGGGATTAGGCTTTGTTCAATTGCAACGTTGTGTTAATCTTTTGAATGCAACGTTACAGTGATGTTTGTGGGATCCCAGACACGGCTTTCGTGGTTGGGTCTGATCTGCGTCTATGTGTTGATGCTGCATCGCGTACATCGTCTACTTAGTTATCTATTTGGTGGTATGACCACTTGAGCCAAAAGATGGTAAAGTTTTGTAATAATATAAATGGTGTCAAGCTGGCAAAGAGATTGAAAATTTATCTGGTTGATTCAAGTAACGATCCGTTCGTATTTCTGGATTGTCAATTGTGGAATCCAGTATGAAGAACTTCAAAGCATCTAGTATGAGCTCAATTGCATTTTGCAACCATTTATCTCAAGCCCGGCTATTTCAATTTCTAGCTCAAACTGTTAAGCTTCCACAAACGGATCCCCACCTACAATATCTACTAGCTTAATTTATTCATAAGTACGATACCCAGAATGTGCACCATTCTAGAGGTTTTCGGCGCAATCAGTATACCTTGTGTGGTCACTGTCCGAACTGCTTCCTGGAGAACACTCCATGGCCTTCCTTCCCAAATTTGAAGAAGGTATGTTTTCGGAAGGTGGGTTTAAAGCTGCTTCATCTTGCACAAGCGTCTCGTCGGAGGTACTCTTAGAAGGCTTTGATTCTGGCTTTGGGGATTCCGGCTTTGGAGATTCCAGCTCTGAAGATTTTGACTTCGAAGACTCCGAGGCAGATTCACCGTTTGTGGTGTTCTTCAGTTGATCGTCTTTGCTCAGGTTGAGCTTCTCAAAGAGCTTGAGCATATTGGCTAAACTGGAGCTACGTTCAATTGGAGTATCTTTCTTCGCCGTTTCCTGTGATTCTGCTTTCTCAGGAGGTGAAGCTTCTCTCAGTGGAGAGTACCACCACGGAAAGCTCTTTTTTCTGAGTCCGGTACTCTTAGTTGGAGGTTTCTCGGATGAATCCTCAGCTGGATTCGAAGGAGATTCCTTTGAGGTGTTCTTAGTTGGGCTGGTAGTCAGATCCTCAGATTCGGCATCCTTTGGCGAGGTCTCGTCCACTGGACTGTTGTCCTTCGATGCCTCATCCTCTGGAGTGTTGTCCTTCAACACCGATGTTTCCTTTGGATTAGGGCTATTCGAATCCGAATTCTCTTCCGGTGCAGCCTCCTCGGCAGAAACTTCCTTAGGACCACTTTCCTCACCCTTGGACTCACTATCGTCCTTTGGCTCATCCTCCTCTTGAGCATCCTCATTCGTCTCACCACTCTGGTCAGTCTTGGCTACCTGTCCACCAGTTAACCCAGGAAAAGCTTTTGACAAAAGCGTGGAAACAAGCCCCCTCCTCGAAGCTTCCTTTTTCTTTGGAACCTTCACGGGAGCCTTCTTGGCTTGAATTGGCTTGGGCTGTCTACCTGCAAGGAAAGTTGAATATTGGTGGGTGGACTGAGGATGTCCATTTCTTCCAGCTAGAAATGCCTTGGCTCTTTCACTGAGCGGCATTAAAAGCATGATCGGAAGCTGCTCCGAAAGTTCGATTTTGGTGTTGTGTCCAATCAATAACCGAATACTCACAACCAAGGTTGAGTCCACGGTGAAGTTGCACGCTTTCATGGATTCACCTGTTCGAGGAATATGGAATCCAATGAAATGTCTTGGAATCTCAAAGACTGCCTTTTCATCAACAATTTCCGGTTGTACCTTCTCCTTCCAATCCCTTTGTCCCATGATGGCAGTCAGGCAGTAGACCTTGCGGTGCTTCTTATAGCAGTATTCGCCAGGATTGTCGGTTTTGCCGTGAATCCCGCCAATAATCGTGGCGTCTCTTTTCATAACAAGCCTGGTTCCCGTAATATGAATCGGTCTCGTGTGGAGCTTCAGCTTCAAGACTTCTTTAGGAAGCTCAACGGTGATCTTGATGAAATCCGGTAACGGATGGTCGCAAATGAGGTTTCTTCTTGAAGGACCCAATGGCGTGTTCATGAGCCCGGGATCCAAAAACTGAATGGCAAGCTTTGTCTCGATTTGCTGTGGTCCATAACCAAAAGGCGTGTGGATCTTGGCCATCATGGCTTTTTCCTGAACATCTGGAAGAAGCTCTTCGTCTTTCACCAAATGCTCCCAGTTCCGTGGAACCTGTTCTGGAAGCGGCTCAAAAGGCATTGGCTGGATCACTTCTTCCCATTCTTCTTCTCCATCAACTACAGCACAGACTTCCACCTTGATGTAATGCGAGACATCAATAATGGTATGTTGGTTTACCTTAAACTTAGCCCTGTGTGGAAGGGTCCTCTGGTGTTCTGGAACATGGTCAAAGAGCCCATCCCGACGTGGAAAAGTGTGAGTGTCACATTCACCATACTTCTGGCTCAAACGTGGAAGCTTGATTCTGAAGGGTACCTCAACCTTTTCCTTGTCCTTGACGTCATGGGGCAACGTCAAAACGTCATTTTCGTAATTCAACAAATAGTGGTCTTCATCGCCTTGGATCAGCTTGGGCTGGACCCCACTGAGATAGAGTTTCTGGTCTTGTTTGAGCAAGCTGGTGGTGGACTTACAGGTGTATCCAGCGAAAATGTGTTTCAAGTAAAAGGGCCTGTTTGCTGTCAAACGGAACATTCCATCGACAGTATCACCTGGATTATACTCTCTGGCAACCTTGCTGAGGTGAATTTCACCTCTGAAGCTTTTCATGGGTAACATCTTTGGGGTTTGGGAAATGAGGTGTGGAAAAGAGAGGTTTTTGATAGTACTGATATCTTTGGAGTATAAAGTGGTTCGGGCAGGTTTAATATTATTTTGTGCCACATGGTCATTTTATTGGAAGGCGTTTTGGAAAGAATTGAGCTTCGGTCACGGCATGGGTGACCTCAAGTTGGTTTAGGAAAGTATAGTAACAGTGAGAGGTGAATGGTAAAGGTAATATGGGGGAATTAGAGGTGTAAAAGGAGTTTATCGGGAAAAACTAGAGTAGGAGGAGTAACTATGGCTGTTCTTTTGTGTTTTTACTTGTTTTCCAATTTTTTGTTGGTGTTTCTCTATTTTGCAAAGAATGTGTATGTTAATATTGAATGTGATATACAAAAACGAACCCCAACTATGAACCTCAAGAATAAAAGAAATGTAGAAAAATTTCAATTGCCTTCCAGATGGTCATAAAAGAAAAACCAAAACAGCTTTAAAAGGTTAGCAATTCCAAAACCTTCCCCATGGCAATAAAGCCGTCTCATCTTTTCGCAGCCATTACTATCGACAAGATGATGGGACTATTCTACAAGTCACTCGTAGCCACAAACCTCTTCAAAACATCTTAAGCAGGCAAAAAGCACAGAAAACAAGAAAGAGCAAAATGAACAACCTATCCTCCTTTCTGATACCTGCCTCAACACTAGCACCTTAACCATACAACCACCTACTGTACCACCAAAACCGCCGTCACCGTCACGATTTTTTTCAAATTCCCCCAAACCAAAAATGCATCCCTAAAAAACACCCAGATATGCCCAAAAGTAAAAAAACCCCACCTCCAGCCAGCTCTCCTCCACACCTCCAGGTGCACCTACATGGTGGGTGCAAATTTTGTTGATGCGAAAGTGAACAATCTCAACTACAACCACCGCCATGCTTTACGAACTCTTTGCCATCGCACGAATCAACGACCCGCTTCTCGTCAACAAGGAGGCGGCCAAGATCGCCCACACCATCGGAAAACTTATCATCAATAACAGAGGCGTTGTCCGCAGCATCACCAGTTTAGGACCTAAACCTCTTCCCAAGGTGCTTTCCAAGGACCAGGAAAGACACTTCCAGGGTTACCACTTTGTGATGACGTTCGACTCGTCGGCGGCCGTGCAGGCGGAGCTTTTGCGTACGATGAGAAGAGACCCTCGTATCTTGCGTACTTCGGTGGTGAAGAACGACTTGGGCAGACTGTTGAATGCCGGTTCTTCCTTCGAGAGAGCCTTCAACAAGGTGTCTTACTAAGCGGGTGAGGAGACTGAAGAAGTGCATCGCTGCAAACATCAAGCCAATAAGGTGAAACGATGAAGGGTTTTGATGGAAGCAGACGATGCTCAAAGAAGCCATAAGCTACGAGCAATGCATAAGAGGAGGATGGTTTGACGGTGAAGGTGTCATGTCAAAAAGACGAGCTGGAATCCAGCAACGCACTAGAGTGTTAATGCCTAGGCTTCGCCAGGCAGCATGTATATATGGGAACACGGAACATAATTGGATGATTGTAGGGTGACGGATCAAAGTGCTTTTTTAGTGGGTTTTAAATGCTTTTTTAAAGTAAGTCGATAGAGCATGCAATTCATATTGCTCTGTTTTACTTCTCTTAAGTTATGGGGTCGTGGTCTAGCACTGATGACATTCGGTATCACGGAAGGGTATGGTGGGCACTTGCCTCTACAACTCAGATCTAACAGGATATTCATTAACAGCAGCGTTGCTACGGCTTGCGGTGGATTCTAATGATGATGCATTCATGGAGGTCCTATTAGCAACGAACGACCTGCCAGACCTCGCAGAGTCGTTCGGATTAAATGCAATGAGCAACAGCGATGCAAAAAAGCAATGCAGATGCCTAACGCACCAGCTTCTTCGAAGCAGAAGGCACGGAAGGAGAAGTTATGTCGTTGAGTGAAGTGTTGGATGTGGCCTGACTAATGTGTGTGCCAGCGTCGAAACGCTCGTCATCGAAAATAGACAGGTTTGTACTCTTGTCAGTATCAGCGTCCTCAGCAGTCTGGTCCAACGCAAGGTGAGATCTAGACAGGCTATTAGAAGCCTCTCTGGAGCGTGGAAGCGTGGACATTTCAAACTCAGTATTGCCGAGGTACGATGGATTCAAGTAGCCAAATGGCAGCTCTTGACCAAGGCCGCTCTCTTGGTCCTCAGTAGGCACAGCAGCGTAAGCGCCAAGTGGGTCGTTCTTCTTGATGTCGTAGTACTCGATAGACGTGTACGACCATCTGCAGAACTTGTTGTAGTCGATGGCTGGCAAGGTGGTGTACTTGACGTAGGCGAACATCATGACAGACATGACGGCACCCATGATAAGATCAATGAAGTAGTGATGAGTCAAGTACATGGTAGACCACCACAAAACCAGCGCGTATCCCCACCAGACATACTTGTACTTTGGGAAAAGCCACAGGAGGAACAACACGTCCATCACGGCAGAACCAGAGTGCAACGAGGGCACAGCACCGAACACCAATGGAGAGTTTTCAAAAGTTGTCGTGTACATGTCCACGTGGAACAACTGGTCGATTCTGCCCAAGCCACCAGGTGAGCCGTCCATGGCGTAGTTGGCAGGCTCCAAGCCGTGCAAGTTCTTGTACCATGGAGGAGCAGCTGGGAAAGCGAGCTGGAAGAGCACACCGGCCACGTTCATGTAGCCAAAGGCGAAACCAAACGACTGCAAGGACGTTGGTGGCGCAAAGAGGAACACAAACAACGCCACAAAGAACGGCGACGCAAAGTGAATGATGCCGTACGGCAACCACGCCAAGATATCCAAAATGGGGTGGTTGATCTCGGCCAACACGTTCGACAAGTTGTCGCCGTAGAGAATGGTCTCCATAGCTGGGAGAAACTTGACAGAAATGGCCGGCTTCCACGAGTGAGGAATCTTGGACGCGCTAAAGAACAACGCCAACCAGGCAAAGATGGGCAACGCGTGAACGAAGAACTGCTGGGTCACAGGCACCAGCACGGCAGCCACAAGGAGTAACAAGATTGGTGTTTTGAGCCAAAGCGAGGCTGGGAAAATGATGTAAACAAACAAAAACACCAGGGCCACAAAGGTGTAGTTGACGATCTCAAACCACGACCAGTGTCTCAGGCGAAACCTCTGAATCGAAAGCTTGATGTCGGTGGAGAATTCTAGGTCACCTAGAGTGTTGCCTTGCTGCTGTTCCAGCAAAAAGTGGTATTGGAAAAGACGCACCGCCTTCCTGAGCGGCCGCGAGCGGAGTACTGCAGACATCGAAGGAGCAGTATTAAAGCCGTTAGGGTATGAAGGGGTGAAGGGGTTGTTTTGAAGAAGGAGTAAGTTGGTGATGGAGGTTTGTGAATAGGAGAAGGATGGTATTTGTGCGCCGATCGCGTGATGCGTCGTCACGTGACTCGCAAAAATTGCTTTTTTTCCCGTTTCACCAGCCCCCGACGGGCCGAGGCCGACAGAATGTAGACTATTTTGGAAGCTAGATTTACGGGTGGCTTGCTTATGGACGGGTAAATTAGAGGAAACTAAGGGGAAACGGGTTTTATGTGCAGGAAGCAATTTTCATAGATGGCGCAAGGTTGCTGGACCACGGAGTCCGGTTTGGAAAAAAGCTTAGCTTTTGTGGCTTTTTTTTTGGAGGAGCTTGTGGAAGCTTTTGAAGGAGGTTTAGTTTAAAAAGCAATATTCGAGAAATGCCGAGATGGTCCTTAATCCCCAGGTGTGTGCCCATTTGGTCGTTGCTTTTTTGGCTGCAAACAATGTCTCACTTCTGTGACGGACATCAAGGAAGAGTGGAGTGACCAAGACACATTTCCTGACTTTAAGCAACTTTGTGAAATGTGATTGTTGGACAATGCCGATGAAATATTGTGATGTCATTGGCTTGGCGGTAGAGAAGAAACCGATGCAAAACTGCTTATCTGAGACACCCAAAACGGATATCTTGATCTGTGGCACAGTAGGACGAAGGTGGGCTGATAATCAAGGTGCAATCGGGGTAGGCTATTTGAATTTAAAAGGGACACTGTAAAATTAGAACTTAAGTGTGTGAAGGAATTGTCCCATTTCACTACAGATGAAAACCAGTCTAGGTGATCTTATCAATCAGACAATGCAATCCAGATCTTTATCAATGAACGCAAATCACAATCCAGATCCTCATCAATCAAAATAACTTTCTGTCTACGCGGTCCAGGCTACCCCGGACTTACCAAATCCAAATGTCTTGCCCTAAACACTAGGCCTCGTAGATGTTGGTCTGGACCTTGATCTCGCCCAGCGGAATCATCTTCTGAGCAGCAGACCACTTCTCGCCCTTGGCCAACTTCACCGCCAGACCAACGTGGCCCGGCTCCACACACAACATCTTCAAGTACCCGTCCTTGGGCAAAAAGTCCGCCATACCCTCGGACTTCTTGATCCACGGGTTCCACACAACCGCGTCGGGCAAATTGTGTCTCTCCAACGTCAACAACACGTTGCCACGGTCCACCAACTGGATCACCTTGTGCATGTCTACGTCCTTGTAGATTCTGTCAAACTCCTCCTGGAAACTGAGCATGGGCAGCTTTTCGACATAATGCTCGCCCAAAAGCTGGTCAAAGCAGCGCAGGTCCATCAAGTTCGTGGCCAACGTGTCCGTGACGTCGTCCACCTTGTAGTAGGTGTGGAACAACCAATTGAAGTCAAAGGTGTTAGTGCCGGTGTTTTCCACCTCAATGCCCGTGGTCAAGGAATCTTCGGCCAACGTGACGGTCAAAATCAACGTAAAGTCGTTTTTGCCCTCGTCCCAAAGACTAAACGTGTCCTTATCGACGTTTTCTTTTCCAAGACCGAATTGAACCGCCACGGGTTCCTCGGTGGTCTGGCCCAAAAACTCCCAGGTGGAGTTTCTAGCAAAACCGTGCTGAGGCAACTTCACCACGGATTCGTTGGTGCCCTTGCCGAAAACGGGAAAAACAAGCGGAATTCCGCCTCTCACAGCCTTCAGTCCATCCAACTTGGCTCCTTCAGAAAGCCAGAGTTGCTCCTGTCCTTTCTCCTTCCACGAGATCACCGTGGCACCAAATTTGAGGATGGTGACATTGGTGTCTGGGTTTTTGGGGTGCACAATGCGCACTTTGTCGCCGAGGTCTTCCACTGCCATCAATTGCTGCTGAGGTGTAGTCGGTGTTGGAGATTGGTGATAATGGTAGATAGCGAGGCCGTGGTGCACGGGTGTGAAGGTGCCCGAGTCCACCCAGGTGGACCAAGTACCAGGGGTTACTGGAGTGATATTTATTGTTTTTTTATTTATTGATGAAAAATTTGTAGAGCTTGCCAAAAAAGATGTATTTTTGCTTTGTTGAGGTTGGGGCGGTCGAAAGGTATCATATGCTGCCTAGACCAGGGTACTACAGAACAGGCACTAAGCCAGGATTGAAAGCTTCTCTTTATTTGAATTCGTTAATTCTCTAATATTACTAATTTATGAAAAATCAATGTGGTGTGTTTTGAGGTGCCAAAAGGGTCACTTTTGTTCTGACACATCAACAAGCATCTAGAAGCAGCATGGTGTGGGATACCAATCATGAGACACTCGTCAATTTCAGAGACTGCAAATTTGAATTGAATGCGTTCTGACTCTAGTATCTGAAAAGTCATGAGTCGTGGCATGGCCAGTGTTGTGTAATTCTTCAAAAACGATTATCCAAGCGACAGAAGCATCAAGTACTGAAATGCAGCTTAAAGATTTGTACAAAATTTGATCCTAGCCAAAAAAAAAAAAAGAATGGAAAAAAAAGGAGATTGTTCCATCTTCAACACAGAAGCCAAATAGGCCCCATCTAGCCCTCTACAACTAAACCATGTATTAGTCCATCTGGTCTTATGGGCCAGAAACTGATGAGAAGCCCACTTCAAATAACCCAGAGCCACTCCACCACAGCTCCACTGAACTTCATACCGAACACTACTGCAATTTCTTGAATAAAGGGTAATGGATTAATCGAACTAAGTGGAAGCGAGAGAAGTAAAAACAGCGCCATCAAGACGCTTAATCAAAAAAAGCACTTTTCAAATTCAGGCCGACACGACGTTGCTGTCGCTGGTGTACTTGGCCTGTGCAATGGAAATGGTACGTCCGGAAAGGTCATAGTAGACGTAGGCACTTCTCATAAACACATCACCAAGCACAAAAGGACCCTCAGACTTGGCCTGCTGAGCACCAAGAGCACACTGTGGGCTGTCCTGGGTGCCAACACTGATAACAAGGTCGTTGTACGGAATGGAGATTTCGTTCTGGCCAAAGCTGAAGGTGAGGTTCTTGTCGGTAGGCTGGTTGCAGTCGATGATGTAGAGGTCGTCCTGGACTTCAGAGTATCCAAGGGCATCGGCCACGGCCTCGAGAAGGTTGGAGGGCCACATGTTCCAGGAAGTACCGGAATCCACATTGTAGTACTCGCCCAACTGGATGGTGTTTCCGTTCACAGTGGCGGACTCGGCGGTCAAGCCCAAGTAGTTGTCGGGCTCGAGGTCGTACTTCTGCAACTTGCCTTCGTACTTTTCGGTGTCGATACCGCCAAAAATCACCGTTCCCTTGGCCTCTTCCTGAGAACCCAAGAACAACGAATAAGACGCTTTGCAGGTCACACCGGCCTTCTGCAACGCCCAGGGCAAGTTGTCGTACTGCGACTGGGCACTCTCCTGGTTTCTGTCGGCGATTCCCAAAATACCTGGCGTCTTGGTCTGTGCCTTGTCTGCCACAGCAAACTGGAAGTCCAGCAACTGGGCCTGGCCGGTACCAAAAGTGAAGGCGTCCTTGTAGAAGGCACCCAGAGCAGTGGAGCCGTCCTGGTAGCTGATACTGAAATCTTCTCCAGTCGAGGAGCCCTTGGAAGACTGCTTAGGGTCGAATTTCCCACCTTGAGCGTTCTGAACATCAGGACCGTAAACCCAGAGATCGGACGAGCCGGTGTCAAGAAGAACAGTCACCTTCTCCTTCTGCGAGCCCAAGTAGATGTCCAAGTTGTACATGATCTCTTGTTCCTCGGTGATGGGAACAGGAGAGGCTCTCTTTCCGAACTTGGCGTTGGCATGTTTGACATAACGTTTGGGGTGGTGCAAGGCCTTGGTGTCCTTGACGACGTCAAAGTCAAGCTTCAAAGGAGCAGTGTCCCTTTTGGCGATTTCGTCGTGGCCGCCCTGGTGTGGGATAGCCAAGCCAGAAACAAGCGATGTAGCGATGGTGAAGATGGTCAAGTAAGAAAGCATGAGAGATGATGGAGAATTCGAAAAAGGTGGATTTTTCGCCTGTTTAAGTACCCGTTTTTCGATTAGGGGCTCCCTTTGATCGTACGGCACTAGCCATTCTTTCTTTGCAGCCGAGCGGGCCTTGACCAAGCCCCCGAGCTTCGATACAACGGCCAAGAAGGTTCTGTGCATTGAGGGGGAGCGGGCGGGCGGTATAGGGATTTTGGAAACACCTTGAGAAATAGTGTTGTGAGTAAGAAATTGGAGAAATGCCGAAATCGACGAATTCTCGTGGTGACACTTTAGTCCAATTTCAGTGTGGATCGCTCGCTTGCGGATCTCAGCCGTTGCCAAGATAAGGTTTACGCTTGACAGCTTAGTGCGTCAGCCTCGATAGAATGACATCATTCTCCTCATTCCCAACCGAAGCACCGTGCAATCAGCGATAGAATTTGCTCTCGTACGGCTCCAGATAAGGCTCCAGTGGTAAGCCTCGTCGGCGCCGCATACGTGGGCCCCGATAGACGCAAGATCCCCAAGAGGATGGATTTTGGTGAAAAGGAGCAATGGTTGTTGGAGTGATGAGAAGGACAATTGGGAGGAAGAAGATGTAATTGGTATTTTTGGGTGTACTGTGGGGCAATTTGGGTAAATAGAGGTGTTGTCTTCTCGACCTGTACTTCGTTATCTAGGGAAACGATGCCTTATCTCTGTGGTATCATCACATTCTTGCGTTCCTCAACAGAGTCAATCCACGGCACAGTCAATTGACGACAGAGTCAAAGAACAGCGTCTTATCGTTGGTAAGCGTCTGATTTTGCCCGCTCGGCTGATATGGAAGCGTCTTTGCGTCACGCAAGGCTTCGTCGTCCTGCGACTCGGCTAATCTGTGTCTCAGCAGAAGCACAAGAATGGAAACATAGTGACAAAAACGAGGGGAAAGGGTCTTTTCTTTTTTGGATTATGCCATACTGAAGGCTGCTTGGAATTGAGTCGTCAGGTGCTGTTGGTGATGAGTTCGTACGGCGATTGAGAGGAAGCTTGTCCAACAAGGTATCCACATTCAAAGCCGCCATGTGGTTGTAGATTCATGACTTCATAGTCTCGTAATCGGCAAGAGTTGCTTTATCGTGGGTATGAATTCCTCCCTGGTACAAGTCGGAAGAGACACAAAGACGACATTTGAAAAATTGAGCCAAACCCATGATCCACATACTGAGTCCATCCATACAGAAGATGGTATGAATTACCGCTGATTCTTTCAGCGAAAATGAATAGAGGTAGCCGATCAATTGATACGACTCTTCAACAAAATGAACTATGCTTTTCATTACTATGCTTTTCTAGATTCATGCTGGCCAGCAGCGGTGGGGTCCTAGGCAAAACGGCTCTTGAACTTCTGGAACTTGCTAAGCGACCGCTGGCTCACGTCTGAGTTCATGCTACTGAGGGACATGCCGCTGGGAGAGCGGCCGTTCTCTTTCGAAAGCGTCTTTTGGGAAGACAGCACCGTGGGCCGATCGTAGAGGGAGAAAGGCTGCGGAATGGTGAAGTTTCTGGATCCCGAGGGCTTGAGACTGGCCGAAGACGGCTTCTTCTGGAGGTTCGTGGGCTTCTGGAGGTTTGAAGCGGAGGGTTTCTTCTGAAGCGCCTGGTACTTCTCGGGTTGTCTGAGAGAACGAGAAGTAGGCAGTTTCTGCAACAGGTGGGTCAGCGGTTTCTGCTGGAGGCTGGGTATAGACAGCTTCTTCTGGAGCGTGGGTATCGACAGTTTCTTCTGAAGCGTGGGTATAGACGGCTTCTTCTGAAGCGAGGGTATGGATGGTTTGTTCTGAAGCGTGGGTGTTTTAAAAGAGGGTGTGTTTTGCGGCGTTTGCAGACGCAAGCTGGCCAGCGAAGGTTTCTTGTGAAGCCCAGGCGCCACTCCAGCCAACTGGAGCGACGATTGTCTTTGTTTGGGCATGGGTTTGGCGAAAACCCGCTCCTCCCTGGGCTCCTCAGTGTCCATGTCGTCTCCTAGCAAGGAGTTCAAGTTCATGTGGCCCTTGGAGGGCGAGATTCGGGTGAAGCGGGAGGGAGAGTGCTCTTTTTCAGGCGAATGCATTGTTGAATGTGTAGGCGAGTGTGTAGGCGATTTGAAGTGGCCTGAAAACGCCCCCATTGCGGTTGTAGAGTCTTTGCCATCATTTCCAAAACCGTTGCCTTTGTTGGTCCACATCTGCTGAACAGGCGCTGGAGGCGCCAAGGTGGGTCCTTGTCCAAGCAGCACTTTTTCGATCTTCTGTTCTATTTCATTCTTTCTCCTAAGCGGCAGCTCGTTTTCCTTGCCGAAAACCTCCTCCGGCCCGTTAAGCGTCCTTCTCTTCTTCGTAGCACTGCCATCGTGGCGTGGCAGCTGTCTGTTCCGTGAAGCAGCGTAGTGTGACGAAATGGACTCCATCTTCTGGAACAACGGCTTGTGGGCTCCCAGGTACCGTTTTCTGCGTTCCCGGCGTTCCGGCAGCGGCTCGATCTGGCCCGATATCTCCTGGGCACGGAGATCGAGCTCCTGAAGCACGGAGTTGCTGAAAGTCTGGGAGTAACCCTTGTCGACCATATTTTCAAACATACGGTCCTGAGGCGCCGGCAAGTCGCTCATGGATGGGTACCGCACGGGCAGCAGCGGCAGGCGGGGCAGCAGAAGCCGCAAGTTGCGTATTTTCTTGATGGGAGTGTTGAGCATGGTGGTTCTTTCGGGTCAGATTTGGTGATATATCTGATGGGTGTTTACCTTTTGCCGAAAGCGGAAGGAGGTCCGGGACGGAGGGAGGAGGGAGGGATTGGGGATTTGAGGAATGGATTTGAAGGTTTAAGGGAATGGATTTGACGGTTTTAAAGGGTGGTTGGAAATTGGGGTGTTCAGGTGGTATGGGGATGTGGGTGTGGTCTGATGTTTGATGCTCATTTTGTCGTGAGACATGTCGTGGGTGGTGGAGGTGAAGTTAAGGGAGGAGGCAAAAGAAAAAAAAAAAAAAAGGAAACAGAGTAAATGGAGAACTTGATCTGTCAGAAATTGCTTTAAAAATCTTGGGTGTTTTGCTTTTTGATGGTGGGTGGAACGGCTGAGGTGGTGGACTGAATGGCTGCTACTTTGAGGACGGCAGGAACAATGGCACATTATCGAGACGAGCGGCAGTTATACGGAATTGGACCTTAAGAGGTTTTTTCCTTTTTTCCTTTTGTTTCTTCCTTTAGGTTCTTGCTAATTTGAGATGATGATATTTTAGAATAGTTCAGAAACTCACCAAGAATGGCAGTCAGTTTACTATGCTCAACTCATCACAGTGAAGCTGGAACAATGGGCGCAGGTTCAATATATGCCTGCTTTGTCAATTTGTATGTTAGTAATGGGCAGTTTGGAGGTACAGGAGTATCGTAATTTGGTTCAATTTAATGAGTTGTTTTGAACTCTTTTGAGGTGCATGCTGTTTGAAATCGATCGAAGCCATCTAGATTTGAGGAGATCCTACGAGAAGTCACCATTTGTTATTAGAGGGCCACAGGTATGTTGGTAGAGATGGAGCACTGCAAATCTCTACGGTGATGCTGCAACCTCATGGTTGATTATCAGAACTTTGTCAAGGAGGCACTGGTTGGGAAGCATGTGGTGAAACACAATTAAAGGCAAAATTTTTATCAAAAGATCTTCGGCAATACAAGTGGAATTTTCGTTGATGTTCAGCCAAAAGTGTAGGTTCTTCTTCAAAAAGTTGCAATTTCTTCATTAAGATGACGACAAATCCCATTACTCTTTCGCTTGCTTCAAGAATTTAGAAGAAATTAGTGCTTAACAAAACGCAGGCACTATTTACGAGCTCATAATATGCTATTTTACTTCGTTGACGCTGTTGACATTAGTCCAAACTTCAACCGCTTATAACTCTGCGCACAGCCATTTCTAGACTGTGAGAGTAACAGAGATGCATATTAACGTATGGAAGTTTATATGGAGAGCTTAATATTATTTTTTGTCTCTCAAAAGTCCCAAAAGTTGATAGCATATATATATACAGCAATTTTTTTGTGCAAATAGCCCGCCTGCGTGGCGTAATGGTTAGCGCATTTGACTTCTAATCAAAAGATTCCGGGTTCGAGTCCCGGCGTGGGTTTATTTTTGCCATTGGTATATATTTTATTGGAGTATTTTAAGCGCTGTTTCATGAAGATTTTATTTCAGAACTGGCGTTTGCCTCAATCGCTTTCTTTTTCCCTTGTTCTGCAGATTTAGTACAACGATTATTGAGTATCGTTCATGATCTTGACAACTTCTATGGACAAAGCAGCTCTCTTAAGCTAGAGAAAGGCAATTAACTATGATGCCTGAAACTTATCCATCCACTTCCGTAGGATGGGCCGGCGTTTAGGTTTGGAGATTTTCAAGAAGGTGGTCTTCCCGATGTAGCTTGTCCACTGCTTAGTCACAATGCTTATTCAGCCCAACATATAAAAAAAGCCAATCAAATTTCTCTTGAGTTTCCACAGTTAATTCTATAAAAAAAGTGCTATTGTTGAGATAAAGTTTAGAGTTGAGGTTTCTATGGCTCCAGTTGACAACGAGATAAGCGAGAGTAACTAACGAAATATCTAAAATTTAGCCACCCTGACAGATAATTGAAGACAAGTACACTGTCATCGATAGAAAGATACTCCCCAATACTTCGTTACATTTGAACAGCCCATCAATTGCGCTGGACTAATCTCATTAGACATCCTCTTTAACATACCATTACCATCGAAGTCGATAGCATCAACTTTTGAGCCAATTACACAACAAAACGAGGTACCGAGACTCATGAATCATTACACAGAGAGTTGTATCACAGAGCACCTATATTTTCCATCTCCTCGTCCCCTCTTTATCAGACCTCCATTGCAACTACACCATTAAGCCACCCGAAACCCCCGAATCTAGAAACAAAACCCCCCTTCCAGATCAAGAAATTTCCACTTCATCACACCTTCCACCTCTCAAAAACCCCACC